TTCATTCTCAGCCTTCTGTATTTTGTTGCCCATTAATGACTTCTCTGGTCAGTCTGATGTAACTGAGCGTATTTTAACTCTATTTGGAAACTTCTTTAAATACTATGATGTGCACAAAAATTCCAATGACAGTAAAATCAGGGATGGGGGAGAAGGAGAAGAGAGGTGAGGAGGGGGTATTTTACCCTGTGGTCATGGCAGAAATATTTTACTTCTCTCATGACATGTTTACTTAGCAAAGAGACTTCTGGCTGAAAAAATGAGAGCTGATACTAAGGTGGCCACTGCCAGATTTAATTACTCAATTGTGTTTAGGAAAAGTTAGGTTTTCCATCAGTGAAACAGTAAAAATAATCACAGCATTAGGATACCATTATTTTGGAACTTCAGTAAGGATATATTGCTAATTCTCTCACTTTAATGATGTCTATTAGAATAATAAACAGAAAAGTCTTAAAATTATTTCCCTGCTTAAGATCAGAAAAATGTAGGGATTTTCCAGGAAGACTTTTTTCCCCATGCTACTCAGTTAAAGCTTGTTAGAACACTACAGTAATAAGCTAGTCTTCTTTCACCCAGTATAATTATCCCACGCCATGTATAGTAGGGTGGATTAACAAGGATTTTATGAAGGAATGCTTTAATAGGTTGGGTTTGGTACACTTTCAGCTTGATAGTGGATCCAGAAAAGGCAAGTGCACTTTGTCAAAGAAGCTAGCAAACAGGTAAACAGCGCATGTAGAAAACCAGCAGTTTCCTTTTTAATAGTAACAGGTAACTTTCTCTGCCTTTGTTTTGGTGTGCTCCATATGGCACATAGAGAGTGGCCTCAGTTTGAAAGGTTAAAAGTTTAATGGTATCAGACTGTCATCACTCCCCTTCGCTGCCCTTGAGTGTTTTGTAGAGGTTCAGCATACACCATGTGAGAAATGCTGTCTCTTAGGAGGGAAAGGTGCTGGTGATTTTTGCTTCTGACTATGGTATGTCAGTGAATCTGCTTGGTGCTCTGGATTTGCAGAGCCTAGGTTTTGAAAAAGTAGAATTACTATTTATTAGTATAGAGTTACTATCACATGTCCAATAAAGTAACTTTTTAAAAACTCACATTGTTTTTGCTACAGAACTCATATCTGCTCATATGCCCTGTATCAACCCCAGTATTGTGGCAACTTGGAATTATTCTCATAAGTCTACTCTTATGCATGCTCCCCTACAAAATGGGGAACCCTTTCCCACATTACAAGACTCGTCTAGAGATCAAGGTTGGGTCTGTTAAGTCCCAGTGTTGTGCAATACCTGTAGAGTTGAACCTTTCTCTCCTATGAGGTAAGATATGGCCTTTGTTGTAGTTTTCATCAGGCTACATACAAAATTCAGTGTTGTTCAGCACCTGTGTGTTTCAGCCATGAGGTATGTTTTGTAGTCTGCAGGTTGGCATTAGTTCACCTTAAGTTTTTGGTTTTTTTAACTGTATATCCATTGTTTTGATGAACTTGTAAGTGCTTTGCTTGCTAGGATTACGACAATTTTCTGAAATGAAAGTGGCAGCAGTGTGATCTGTAGCAGCAGTAATTCTGAGTCCCTTAATAGTGCTGCAAAATCAATAGGAACAGAGCTTTCCTGCATGGCATCTTCAGATGGGGGAGCTGCTGGTGAGATTGCCATAGAAACCCTTGTGGAGGATGTCTCGCCTTGTTTATTCTCATTTAACAGTAAGTGAATTTCTGCAGCCAGATACTGCAGATGAGGCATGGTTTTGGCAGGCTCCTTCCATCTTGCTGAGGCAAGTAGTATATTTCTAATTCATAGAATTAGAGTGATACCTGGAAGGAGTGCAGCCAGTCATTCGGGGAGGTTTGCAGCTTTATCTCAAGGCTACACTTGGAGGAGGTGGAGATGTCACTGGGGCACAGACACAGCCTTGGCTGTGACAGGCATGTCTGTGCTGCAGTCACACCAACACACATCAGTGTGTTTTAATTACCTCACCTGAGTCTTGGCTGCGACTTGAGAGGTCTCAGCCCAGTTCTGGGTTCAGCTCGATATGGTGTGTTCACATAGAATGGTTTGGGTTGGAAGGGACCTTAAAGACCATCTCATTCCAACCCCCTGCTGTGAGCAGGGACATTCTTCCACTAGGCTAGGTTGCTCAAAGCCCCATTCAACCTGGCCTTCAGTGCTTTCAGGGATGGGCATCCACTGCTGCCCTCTCCCTTGGCAGTTCCTGAAGGTGCACAGTGAACTCTGGGGAAGTACCGGAGATGATGGAGGGGAAGTGAGAGCTGAGGGGAGCTGAGCAGGAGGAGATGGGGCAGGGAGCTGGCGAGGAGGTCTCATTCCTTCCTCTCTCATTCTCACCCCATCGATCAAACAGTCACTCTCTGGTGTCACAATGTATTTCCTGCTCTTTCCCATTTTTTTTAACTCTGAAGCCCTTTTTCTTTTTGGACGAGTCTCTAAGGTGATGCTTGAGTTAACAATAATGAAACGAACAACCTGTTAGTCTGGAATGCAAGAAGTACAGTTTAACAGGCTGATGCCTGCTGAGTTGGTGCTACGAAAAAAATCCAGAAGCCGTTAGCTGGGGTGAGATAAGAAAGGGTTTAATTATGCCAAGGCAATAGATGTTACGACGCGCGCGCCCGGCTGTGCCCGAGATGTTACATTTATAACAATATTTGGCCAACCCTAAGTGTGTCCACCCTATAACTTTTGGCCTGGTCCACCCCCTGGCCCGCCTCTCGAAATTGGGTCTGGGGTGCTTTTTGGGACCCCCTCTTCATCATCTTCTTCATCTTCAGCGTACAGAGAGCAGGGTGACCCAGTTCCTTGACTCTGTCCTGCGGTTTAGGCCAAGATATAAGCGTTCTCCAAACAAGACAGGTTTGCCTTGACTAAGAGACTAAACATCATCTGCTGAATATGGGAATAGGGTTGATATAGGGAGTATGGAATGGGGTGAAAGGATTGAGGAATATAAACTAAGGGATACTACGGGGAGGAGGGAGAAAGGGGTTTATTTCTAAAATCTACTTCTATTACCTATAAAACTTGTAAGGTAGAAAAATAAGAAAATCATTATGGGCTTAAGGCATCAGGCAAACAGGTTAGAGAACCTTGGCCACATTACAACACATTCTTCGTCCTTTAGCAGACCTTCTTTATTTGGATATATCACGTAATTAAGCTATAATCCAGTAGTAAGCTTAACTTCCAACTCAGTCCAGTGCAACCATTATTATTTCCAAACAACTGTGGCAGCAATATGGCTATTGAATACATCAAGAAATGATGGTCTTAGGCACTGAGGATTTTCATACAACCTTTTTTCATACCTAGGCCAGATTTTTTATTGCTTTATGTTCCATAGGATTACACGTAAATGCACTATGCATTTTTTTCAAGATGTATATCTACAGTAAACTCTCTTACAAAAGAACTACCCACTCAGATCTGAGTGTCTGGTTGTATTCACACAGAATAGAGAATTCAACCTTTTATTTTGTGCATGTCGGAAATCCATCATTGGGTGACAAAACCTGCTATATATTTTGAAAAATCACTTTTCCTCATATAAAAAATATAAATATTGGTAAGAAAATACTGCTCTTTGTTTCCAACATTATAGACTCATGGTTTCTATGTTGAGGAAGACATGAATGCCATCACTGAAAGGATTAAAGAATCAACTTTAAAAAAATTGTAATATGTTTCTCTAAACTTTCTTGGAGGAAAAAAAAAGTTATCAAAACTACTGAAATAAATTAGATCAATTTGTAAGATACCCACTCCACTGACAAATGGTTTGCATTTTTAAAAATTAGAATATCAGACAAATGGAATAATGCTCCAGCAGCAATCTAAAGAATGTGTTGCAAGGATGTAAAGTTATTTTCAGATGAGTATGAAAGTTGTATGTATAATTTCTGCCTATGTCAGACATTTGAACTTCCTCAGTTCTGGTTTCCAGTGAAGGGTGTTTCACTTCCCCATTAAAAGATTATGTGCACAGAAGTTTATAGTCTATTCTGTATTGTCCTTAGAGTAAATAAGTACACTTAATGCTGCCCAGAATGATTCTTCTCCTCTGGTCCTTTCAGACATGCATTCTTTGTAGGCTCACCGTTGATTTTAATCACATTTCGAGTTAGTGTAATAAACATGAGTATAATATCATTATTCCTTCCTGCAGGGTATCTTGGAAGTTCTGATCAATAAGGCTGGCTTTTGTGTACTTAAGGAGGGGAAACAACTTCAAAGAAACAATGCTTCAGTGCCAAACTGGCCTGCAGGGCAACAGGACAATCTGATTTCACCAACTCATGATTGCTTTTTACAATTTCAGATCCCATTTGTCAAAAGCAAAGAGGTCTCCTGTCCTATTGAATTTTCAGTTGTCTCTAGTGGCTCCATCACAAAGTCCCATAATTAGATGATTTTTGCTGAGACCATAATTCCTTTTATAAAGTGTCTACATACAGCCTCTTTGATTGTCATGGTCAAACTCCATTGCTGAAAATGAATCCTGACAGTGAAGCACTTTCCTTCTGCATGTGAACGAGGGTGGATAGGAATGGGGTAGAGAATTATGTGTGAGAGAAGGCATTGGAAGACTTTCTTGCTGCAACATGACTATTTTCATCACTTTAGCACTGCAAATCCCACAGTCTGGGTGCTGCCTTTCTACGCATTGCACAGATGAAGAGTAAGATGTTTGTCTCTTAATGATTGAGATTTTACTGCTTTGAAAATGACACAATGCTGATCCAAAGGGGAAACTTCAGTCTGTGAACACTGCCTGTGGAGATGGTTATAACAGGCAGCTAAGCAGCAGCCACATGATTTCTGTGGTGAGACACCAAGAAAAGTTTCTAATTTCTCTCAGGAATTTTTGACAGCAGTTTATTGAAACCTCTAGTTGAAGATTTGGTTCAGTTTTTGACCATTAATGTGGCTGATTGCTGCCAATTGCTTTAATGTACATTCTCTTCTTCTGGTAGGTTTGTCAGCTGCCAAATTGCTGTCTGAGTCTGGGGTCAGCGTGGTGGTCCTTGAGGCCCGGGACAGAGTTGGAGGAAGGACATTCACTATCAGGGTAAGTGCTTCTTGAGATGGTGGACCCTCACTTGTGCTGGTCCATGATGTGGTAAACATCACTCCCATCTTTGAAAAGACCAATTCTTTTGACCCAAGGGACCTGCAGCCTCAACTCAATCCTCAGAAGGTGACAGTGCAACTAATCTGAAGGTCATCAGTCAGCATGAGTTCACCAAGAGGAATTCATGCTCGACCAACCTGACAGCCTTCTAAGAGGCAGTGACTGGCTTGGGAGATGAGGGGAGGACAGTGAATATTGTCTACCTAGACTTCAATAATTCAGCACTGGCTCCCATAAGATCCTCAGGGACAAACAGATGGGTTGGTAGAGCAGACAGTGAGATGGACTGAAAACTGGCTGAGCAGCTTACTCCGGACGATGGTGATCAGCGGTACCATCACTTTTGTCAAAGTAAAAGAGCTCTGTTTGAACAGGTTGCACTGCAATATATGCCAGTGGGCTTCTCTTTATAGGAGGTCCTTTAAAATTGGACCTGGAAGCCGCTCTCAGAGCCATCCAGTGGGATTTGTGTGCCATACTGGAAGTGTCTGGCATCCAGCTGCAGGTCTTCTTTGGATCACGACTCAAATTTTCACCCTTGCAGAGAAGTCTTGGATAGCTTGGGTTGTCTAAAATGGTGTTAAACATCTATATTAAGGTGAATTCCACCCACATTCCTTAGCCTGTGTCCAAGGCAGGATCTGCTTTGCTTTTCACATTACACAGGGAAACCATCATCTGAGAACATGAGTGTCAGAGCACTTCTCTTCTTATTCCCATCTCACTTTTTGTGCTGTAACAGGCATGATAACTTAGAGCCCTAGAAGAAGAAGGCTGAGCAGGACCAGACATCATTACAGCTCAGACATACGTTTTAAGGCATCTTAAAATTATCCAAAATAACACTCCTGCCTCTAAAAACAAACTGCATCTTGATTGCCATTAAAAATAAAATGAAATAATATGTGGCACAGGGTAATGTGATACAGACATTACTTCTGTTTCCCACCCTGAAAGTGAGGGAGGTTTAAATTATGTGAGATGCCATTGCTGGGGAACCAGAGATAAACAGTGGTGTTCCAGCAGAAATCATTGTGTGTGAAACATGAAGTATAAACACCATCCTTCTGTGACACTGAGAATGCCTGGCTTAAAATAGTCACTGTAAACAGTGTTAAAAAGTGTTACTGTCTTGGGAAATCAACCTGCTGTAATAGTATGCATCCCTGAAACCTCCTGTTTGCTTCCTGATTCCCAAGTGAGTGCAATGCTGGACTGAGAGGTGCATTGAGCACCTTTGATGACAGGCATGGCTGGGGGCTGCTGACCAGATGGCTCCAAGGTGTGCAGTGCTGGAAAGGAGATTAATCTCCTTGAAAACTGCAGTGCAGTGCTCAGCATCTGCAGCATTAAGTCTAAGCAGGTATCTACAGAAAGAAAACAAGCTGGAGATGGTTTCAATTTATGAAGTGTTTTGCAGTGACAAGAAAAATAACATGAATTCTGAACAAATTCAGTTAGATTTAACCAAAGTATTGATGGGGTTGGATATTTCTTCATATCTCGTGTCTTTTGTGAGACTAAAAAGCCGATACTGAAAACTAGTGAAATTTAAAAGAGAGTTAAACCCAATTGCACACTTGTGTGTCACAAAGTGAAGACACTGTGAACTCTGTGTGTCTGTCATTACAGAGCTCAATACTGCCTACTTTTAGGTCAGTAAATACACAGAATCACAGTCACAGAATCATTTCAGTTAGAAAAGACCTCTAATATCTTAAAGTCCAACCTTTGGCCAATCACCACCTTGTCATTCCAATGCCTGACCACCATTTCCATGAAGAAATTCTTCCCAAATGTCTTACACATACATTCCATGCACATTTCAGCATGGGATAATTTCTTCTACTTCTAGATGCTTGTATTGAGGACCTTCCTGCACAGTTTCTGATTCCTGTATTCTTTTGACAGAACGAACACGTTAATTACGTAGATGTTGGTGGAGCCTATGTGGGACCTACCCAAAACCGGATTCTCCGACTGGCAAAAGAACTGGGTGTTGAGACCTACAAAGTGAATGTTGAGGGCCATATGTTCCATCATAAGGGGGTAAGTATTGCATCTTCCATGTTGAGATAACCAACGGTATCCATGAGCTTTGGAAATTACTGACAGTCATTAATAGGGTTTCATTTAAAGTTCATATTTAATAATCCAGAAAGCAGCTGTTTTAAGTGTTGTTATTCTGTTTTAACTTACTGGGGTCAATGGTTCTTATACTATTTTCAAAATATTTCAGAAAATGGAACTGAGAGGAGTTAAAACATTTGGGATACATTTGGCACATTATCTCTGAGCAAGCCCCTACCAAGGCTTACCATAAGCTTCACATCTGAGATGTGAGTCCAGGTGGCTGGTCTTGAGTAGGTACTGGTGTGACTAAAGCAAAGTAGAATGAAACCTGTCTTCAGAGCAGAATTCCAGCCCTTGTCTGAGATCTTTAAACCACTGTTATTTTGCTCAGGTCCTAATCAGGACCTACTGCCAAAACAAGTGCAGAGTGAGAACAGTCGGGAGAGACACAAAAAAGGGCTTAAGATTCATAGCTATGAGATACAACTGTCTGTCTCCATAACTCACAAACTATTTTATTTTCCAAAGACCAAATTTTCAATTTTTTTTTTTTTTAATATCCTTTAGTTTTGGTACTTAACAGACTCTGGCAGAACAAGACTTGAAGCCTATATAAGTAAGAGTTCACATACTTGATAGGGTCAAGGCTATGTGATGGATCCTTAACTGGTTTCATTTCTATTACCTTCCCACTTTTTCTTCCAAGAATTAGAGCAATGTATTCATGCTGCAAAGTTTTATCATCTGGTTCTGCAAGCACCCCTTATTGGGGAGATTGATGCCATGCTTATAAAATAGTCACATCTTAAATAACTGCATAGTCACTCCACAATAGTAAAAAAGTTATTTTTCATGCCTTCATGTAAAATCAGTGTAATTCTGCAGCAAGAGGACTGGGCTGATTTGTACCAGCTGAATGTTTGTCCCACTCTATTTAATTTAAGCTCGGGCATGGATCTCTTAGCATCCTAAAAGGCACTTATCTTCTTTATGTTAAATAAAAAGCTCTAATGGGTTACATGAATTTGAGCCCTTAATCCATTTTGACACTGAAGCTGCAGCTTTTTATTGTCCCACACTGCATTATGCACGTCCTTGCTAATGACCATGTAATTTTGTACGTTTTCTTTGAAGTGAAAGCATGTTTCTAAGCAAGAGCCAGCATTATGAGCTATTCAGCCAGATCACAGGCTATGGATCCATTCTGGATTTGGCACTGTGGTACTGCTGAGCTAATCAGGGTCCCAATGGAGCTGTAGTTGTTGGACAGCAAAGGGGCTTTAAGGTCTACCACCATGGACAGACTTAAGCACTGGACAAATAATAATGATGCTTCTCCTCCAGTAGGTCTTATTTCTCCCACATCCTCTTCCCATGAATTGTAGGGTTTGTCTTTTATTTTCTTCTCCTAAGGTTTTCCACAGCTGCTTCTCCTCACTCTTTCCTTGAGACATTGTGTAGTCACCACGCCCTTTGATTTAGGGGTGTGTTGTTGAACTCTGTCTTATATCCCACTTCTACAACACCATCTGTGCAGTCCTGGCTGTTGGCTGGGTTGGTCAGTGCCCAGGGCTCCAAGGGATTGTACATTTTACCTGCTGCACACCGTTATCATGCTGGATGGTGAGTTGGCCAGGTAGGGATTTGTGCTGTCCTAGCTGTAAATGTGCCCTTCATATTCCTTAAAGATTCTGCAGGAACACGAGCACCTGTGGTATTTCGTAGATGACAGAAAATGTTAAAGACATGATTTGATATTAAAGGATCATTGCCCCAGAAATTAATTATTAATCTGAAAGATGGACATGTTGGGCTAAGACACCATCAACTGTGGGCCAGCTGCTGCCTTTCAGGTTTTAGTTAGACCTTTCAAGCTTTCCTCCTTGTGTCTCATCTGTTACTTCTGTCAGCTGGTGGCTGTCCAGGAACCTGTAGCCAGGGCCAGACAGGAAGGTCTCTTCCCAAGGGCTTTCCTCAAAGTCTGCAGTATCGTGTGGTTTGTCAGAGGCGACAGAGAGTGTTTTGAGCAATGACTAAGCACGGCTTTTGATTTTGTTGTGACAGTCATACAACTGTACGTCATCTCCAGCACCCTCAGATTAAGAGATTTTTGATCTCTTGTTTACCATAGCAATCAGTTCAGTTTGGCTTTTTCAGAAGATTTCCAGGGTACTGCTTGGATTGAGTTAGGGGAAAGTGGTGAAGTGGTTTATCCTAGCAACGGAAGCAGCCAAGGGAAAGTGGAAATCCCCAGAGGGATTTAATGAGCTTCTTTCTCTGAAAGCAATTTTTTCCATATGTGTGTGGAAAAACTCCACATACTGCAAGTTTTAAAAATCACGTTGCTTCATTTGTGCAGGTTTCCTTTGTAGTTACAGTTTATTTGAAAATCCAAATATGCAACTGTTGTTTATCTTTTTTTTTTATTTGTTCATTCTTTCCCATCAGTTAGCATGGTAACATGAACTGCTTTGGCGTTAATCAGGAATTTTTTTGTATCCTGTTGTTGCAAATCTGTAACTTCAAACTGCAGTGTTTGTTATGAGCCCCAGACTTTCTTTCCATCAGAATTTCTTTGTGGCTACTGTCCTGTAATTCAGCAAGAATGCTTTAGGACTGAGAAAAGGCAGATGTGTTGGAGTTCTCCCTTCCCTGAAGAGGCAGACAGCTTTTTATTTTTACAGAGGTCCTTGAAGGTCACTCTTGTGTCATTTTCACCTTCTTTTTAGAGGAAGACCCTATAAAGTAAAGGCATTAGGGCCTTGGTGTGGTGTTAAGCCTCTCATATAATTGCAGTCCTCTAAGATGTGGCAGTAGCACCCAGCTCCAGTAAACAGAATATTAGTAAATAAGGACTGATTCTGATTATTTTTTGCTTATGATTCTCAGACCAAGGTAACACTTGAGAAAAGATGAGCGTTTCTATGCAATGCTTCATGCTGGACATCTAGTCTTTTCTTTCCAACATCTTGCCTTAAGTTTAGGGTGCCGCAGGTAAGTCTGTGCAGATCACCCTAAATCTGCAGTTCAGACACAAGGAACCACAGACAGTGCCAGGCATTGCAATGCTCTCAGGGCTGGACCTGCTGGAGATGCTCAGCAGAGGAGGAGCTGAGGTCTCACACTGCCCAGAGCCACTGCTCTGTCTGTGTGTGCTGTGCATGGCCCAAGGCAATAACAACCCCTGCTCCTCCTGAGCTTCCTGATGTGTACTTGTCCCTTGCACAGCAGGCAGGAGCCAGACTTGCCTTTCTCAAGACTGGAAAAACTGTCAGCTCCTCTGGCACAAATTGAAACTTGGGGTGGTGTCACAGCTGGGGTGACTTGGGATTAATTCCTGTAGTTATGGCTACAAGCTCCAGAGTAGCCCTGGGCAGGGAAAAGACAGACCTTGCAGAGCTCATCTTCCTCTGATGCCTTCTTTCTAACCACTGAAGTACGGTGCTTGAGGACCTTGTTTCCTTTGGATTGGTGTGAGGTAACTAATCCAAGCAGGCAGCAGGACCCAAATCTGAGCTCTGCAGGAAAGCATTCGACACACTAGGAAATGAGAAAAGATAGTTAGATGAACTCTGTGGATCAGTCAAGCAGCCATGTGTTAGCGTGGGAAAAAAGCCAGTAGGTTATTTGCCTTTCAGTTAAGAAAACAGTTGTTCTCAAAATAGTACATCCAGAACACTATAAACTAAACACTAAAATTTAAAAATGGAATATTGCAAGACCTTCCCTGTTTGCAGTGAGCTCCTCTGTGAAACAAGCAGCCAGAGCTTCTCTCCCTAGTAGGGAGACAATATTAAAAACAAATTAATAACCTACCAGCCCCAGGTCACTTGGGCTAGATTTATTCCCTGCTGTGGAGATACTTGTGCAAGAGAGAAAGTTGAAAAACTGATGTGTCTAAGGCTGTTTGCCTTGCGCTGTCTGATGCACAATGGGAATTTCTTTCCTGGGATTTGTTAGAATTGGGCTTTCCCTTGATCAGCTCCCATGTCTGGTAGGTGCAGCCCCACCTCACAAGGGGTTAGTGTGTCTGTGAACTATTTCAGGCTCTCTGAATTTGGTCTCAGCCTCTTCCAGGTCTGTTAACACTGTTGAATTTTTCCAGCTTTTCCTTCCATTGCTCTCCAGTCTTACTAAAATTACAGTTTCTTTGCATGCAGAAGAGAACAACAAATAATACAACTTTAGACTGTTAATTATCAGCTGGCATTTAATAGTTTTCAGTGGATAAAATATGTTTTGCCATTGATGTCCCTGGGCTATGCCATTGACCAAAGATGTGGGACTAATAATATTTTCAGATCAGCAACGAAAGGATTGTTCTTTTTTCAAATAGCAGATAAGTAAATATCACATGTGGTGCATGTCATACCAGTGGCCAGCATGGTAAGATTTCTTGATCAGTCCTGAGCAGTTTGTGGTCGTGGTGGTCTAATGCTAGTATAGAGTGGAAAAGTTGGAGAAAAATACTAGCTAGCCAGACAGTGGGCAAGTTCTCTCACCAGTTGCCGCATCTGCAGCAATCAGGACAGTTTGGAAATTGCTCAGCCTGTAGCTGTTGAACTCAGTGGAGTTTATGCTAAGGGTTGGAAAAGCTGTTTTGATGCAAATCTCATTATAGAGTTTCTGAGAGAGACTTTTCTTGGACTGTTTTTTTCCGGCAGTATAAGGAGTAGGTTTGGCTGAAACCAAGAGGAGGAGAGGAGCCTTAGAGGAAGTTAACTTTTTACTTTCTTTTTAAAGAAGTGCTTCTCGTTTTGAGTTAAGTAAGCTAAGGATAGGAGGAGGGTTTGCAAGTTGCACCACTCCGTATAAGCACAATCACTTATCAAAAAGCCTGTTGAAAGGAGGTGTCACTGAACAGTGAAAAACCGGGAAGTTTTCACTGCTACTCCTGATTGTCAGGCTTATCTTTTCCCTTTGCCCTCTTGCAGTGTTGACATGACAGAACTTCAGTAATAACTTATCTTCACCTGGATTAGGGTGGCCCGACAGCATTGCCTAAGGGCAGGATTATTGGTGTTAAAACATGTTAAGAAAGACACATGGATGGCACCTGTGTTCCCAACCAGAATAAAAAGTCTAGCAATAAATGAACTTTGAAGGAGTGGTATTTGATGATCTTTTTAAAAAACTAAATGTTTTTATCTGCATTAAGAAGAAAACTATTAGCAGTATATTGCTGCTTTGTATCAGGATATCCTTGTTTGATACAGAATCGGTTTATGACAGCAAAAGCTGTAACATGCAGTACACCCCTTGCATACATTTTTTGGTCCTCTTTTCTGTGGCTGAACACACAGTGCTCCAAACTGGCAGCAAGAAATTTTCCTCAAGGAAAAGGAAGAGGCAGTGTCCTGTGAAGGAGTCCCCTGCTGGTGGTTCACGGGAGAAGTTTGTCTGCTCTTGCCATGGCAGAAGTGTTTTGCATGCACATGTGCACCTGGAGAAGGCTGGAACAGCAGCATCCCCCCCTACACCTTCCTCCAGTGTAAATCTCTAAAACAGAATGAAACGGAAATAAAAGAGAGAAAAAAGTCTATGGTACATAAGGTTAAGATTGCATATCCAGAAGTCCAGGGGTAACCAGCCACCTCCAGAGTCATCCTGGTGACTTGAAAGCTCAGTGTTTGTTGGAAATTTGAAAAAAAAAACCCTTAAGCACTTGGATCTCAAGCTGAACCGAGTACTGAGATCGCAGCCTGGTGCTTTTCTTGGCCCAGAGCAGAGATTATTGTGTCTAGATGGAACAGGAGAGTGGCTTTGCTGCTCCCCTCACTGAAGATGAGGAGGAGGCACAGCACAGACTGGCCCTGACAGACTCCAGAGCTGGGGCACCACTGTAGCCCACTTCTGAGGACAGAGGGACCAAGCAGTGTTGACCAAGTTCTTTTTATGGCCCCTTGCCCTCATACACTTGTCTCTTCTATTGCACCTGTCCTGGAGCTGACAAAAGTTGACCAAAATGTAGGAATTTGGATATTTTACTGCTTTTGCCAAGTCTGAAAGCTCACAATGGTCTCTGAGTTTCATCTTGCGCCTTTTGTCTTTGTTATGATCTTTGCAGAAAAACATTCTGAAGAACATCAGAAACCCATAAGTATTTACACACACACACACACACACACACACACAGTTATCAGAGAGAAGACCAATAAGTTCTGTCTTGACAAGTGGGAGGAAGGTGCATTTTGCTGTTGCTTCATGTCCCCGTCCCTGGGTCACCATCTCATGCATTTGCAGCACTGCAGCCTCTTGCTTGGACTGTGGCTCCCACCTGCCAGGTGTGGTGGGCTGTCACGGTGTACACTGCACTGAAAAGCAGGTGACAAACTGCTCAGCACCCCAGGTCCTACCTGTCACAGTCCATCATGTTCACTGCATCCTCACAAAAACTTCTGGCACATCTGGAAGGGCAAACAACAGAGAGGGCTGATGAGAAATTTGCCACTGACTTACGTGGGAGAAAGTTCAAAGCAATTCAACGAGAGAAGATGTTGTCTGCTCATCCAGTCCTCTTTCAGATTAAAGTTATCAGAAAAAAACAGCTGCTGTTAGATTGTTTTGCTTATCATTGTATCACAGGATTATCTGAAACAGTCAATTTGAGATTATATCAGTTTCAGTCACTGTTGCAGCTCCATGTCATACACATTGTAAATTCTGACACCATTTTTGCAAGCGTAGGGTGTTTTTCTTCCTGCAGCCAGAAACTTTCTTTTTAGTAATTTTTTTTAGGCTATATTTCTCCCAAGGGACATGGCATAATAAAAAGGTATGTTTGGTTTTGTAGGTGAAGTGTACCATAAAGGAGCTTAAGTAGTTTCAAATGCATGCAATTTTGGACCCATGCAGATTTTAGGATGTATTTTTCAGCAGGCAGGCAAGTATTAGATTCATTCAAATGTATTAACGAAGAATGTTCAGGAACAAGGGATATTGCCTCTTTGGCCATTGCTTGAGTCTCCTTATCCCAGAATTTGACAACATGCTCAAAGATGCCCCTCCTCTCCCTTCTGAATAACAATAATAATAAAAAAAGGTGTTATTGTCCTTTTTAATATCAGTCCAACTGTTTTTTCCCCTCCTACTTAGCTAAAACCATGTCATGACTTTGAGAATTTTGTGTCCTTCAGTAATGAAGATATGCTTTGTTTTATTTAATTTGCTTGTGTTTTTATGTGTATTTTAGGGAAAGTCACGCAATTTCACGGGTATTTGCCCTTCAACATGCAACCCCTTCGTTTATCTGGATTACAATAACTTCTGGAGAACCATGGATAAGATGGGAAAAGAGGTAGGCTGTGGAAATTGCATGTTTCCTACAATGTTCAGGCCACCATGAATAAATCAGTTTTGCTTTGGTTTGGTTTTATTTCTGACATGGTTTTTTTATTGCTTCTTTAATATTAAAAAACCTCCTCAACAACAAAACAGAAAAGAAACATCCATCAGGAAAGATATCTATATTGCTAGGAACTGTCAGAAATAGTAGGTCTTCCTCACTGAGAGAGGGTTGGACTAGGTGACTTTTAAAGGTCCCTTCCAACCCAAACTATGCTATGATTCTATGACAGGAGACAGAAAGATCTGGAGGTGTCTAAGATATCTGAAAAAAAATGAGGTTGAGCTCAGTGTATGTACTTTCTCACGACAGGGAAAACCATTCCATGAGCTGAGATGAGAAGGTTTTTTTTCCCTTCCCTTGTGGCAACCTTTTTGAGTAAAGATGATTCTTTTTTGTAGCTCCCTAAGCTGGGCTTCAGTTTGACTTCACAGTAATTTTATTTTTAAAATTCAAAATTTAAGCAGTATGACTGCAGCCCCTGGAGCATTATACTGTCTTTCAAATATTCATCAGTTGCCTTATAATTTATCTACAAACCAAGGGCTCTACCTTGTCAGAACCTTCAGGCATAACTAACTGTATTCCTGCAAAGTTCATTGGGTTTATCTGGTTTTGCAGAGTCAAATTTGTGTATGGTACTACACATTTTTTGTAAAATAATATTTTTTTTTTTAAAGATTCATATATATGGTCCTCATATATATGCATGGTCCTCATATATATGGACCTCACATGTCATGGTACTTACACGCAAAGAACTATTATTAAGAATTTACCTGTCTAAAAATAATTAAGTAGTATCTAGACATCTTTTTCTTGCTCTGTAGTTAACAGAGAGACATAGGGGCCTTTAGATACCCATCTTGGAACTGACTGAATCTCTGACTGGGGAAAGAATTTCCCCCTCAACTCAAGACAACTAAACTGGAGTAGACACCTCACTTCTGGAGAACTAAAGGCCAGATGAGTCCCATCATAAGGATATAGTTCATTGTTCAGACAAAGCCAGATTTTGTGGTCATGGTACAATTCATGCCCACATGTGTGAATGGAAACTATTCCATTTGGTGAATTTATTCCAAATGGATATCTGTGTGCAGGGGACAAAATTAACTCCTGGCCAATATATCCATCAAATCTGTGCTACTAACTATGTCAAGGCAATGATAAAGTCCTGAATAATTTCTTGAATACTTCACCTCTGCCTCCAGATTCCTGTTGATGCACCATGGGATGCTCCGCATGCTGAAGAATGGGACAAAATGACCATGAAACAGCTGATAAATAAGATTTGCTGGACCAAGTATGTAACTCTATCCACTTTGAACCCCAGCTGCAGAATGATAGTGGCTTTCTGGCAAATTCTGTGATACAGCTGAGTTCAGCAGGGGTACAGGCAGTGAGAGATCAGGAGGTGCTTGAGGTGAGGTTTGGGTTGGCTGGCAGGTTAAAGGTGCTGGGGAAGCCCGGGGTTTGCTTCAGCAGGCCTGTGCACACAGGAGTGACAGGGTGGGCTCTTCCCACCACGCTTTCACTTCAAACCATTGGAGAGTGTGTGCCTTTGACGTCAGGAAAATCAACGTGTAAATAAAACTCCACTTTGTAGATGAATAAAGGTCACTTGCAGGCACAGAAATGGAGGCAGGTGAGGGTACTTCCCTAGTCCCATGTCAGGCTAGGAGCTGAGGAGTGATGTCCTCTGATTCTCAGCTCCTGCACACTATCATGTGTGTCTGCTTTTGTTGTGTGAGGTGCATGGCATGTGCCACAGAGCAGGCAAGTGCCACTGGTGCATCGGAGAGCAGCCACTGGAAAGCAGCTTCCCCCTGCCTGCTCAATAGAAGGGGCAGTCTGAGACCTGAAGAGTGGGGAATGAGCAGCTGTTGGCACTGGAAACTCTGGATAAGTCAAAATGCTGCTCCTTATTTCAGCAGTAGTGTCTGCTGGGCCTCTGAAACACTTACAGGGAAACAAGGGGCAGCAGAGGCGACCTTTGTTGTTGCTTTACACCTCCCTGGTAGATTTGTGCCTGAGCCAGGCCAGGTGCTCCGTGTTTCTCCCAGAAACCTGTGACTGTGTTTGCTCAGCTCTGCCTGTGGCTGTGCCCCCTCCCTGTGTGCCCAGGAAGCTGTCCTTGAACACCAGCCAGCTCTCCTGGGGCTCTTTGCCCTACAGGATAATTTCCCATGGGACACTGCCAAGCAGGTGCTTGAGGAGGATGAAATCTGCTCTTCCAAATTCCAGGGCTGCAATTCTGCTGTTTGTCTTACTTCTCTCAGGATCTTAAATTCCACAGTCTCGTGGCCACTGCAGCCAAGGCTGCCCCTCACCTCTGCATCATCCAACAGGTCCTCCTTGTTTGTGAGTAGCAGGTCCAATGGACCATCAACCCCAGTTGGCAGGAAGAGAGCTTAGGGTGTTGTATCACCTATAAAATGGCCAGTGTGTTTTATGTGTCTGTGAGGGACCACATTGTATAAATAACAAAAGGAACAATGTTCAATACATTGAGGTGACAACAACTGGAAATTCTCTTTTCTTCCTTCTCTTTTTCAATCAATTCTCGTTATAAGGCAAAGAGAAGTGTGCCCATATGAGCCCTCATATCCCTGCTTGCTGTGCTGGCCCTTGTGCTGTTCTGTAACACTCTTCTCCCTCATATTCACTGTCTTTTATTTGTGTGACTGTGCTCTGTTCACCCTTTCATTCTGACTGTGGTTTAGTGCTGTGCCTGCAGCTTCCTGACCAAAACTTTCCATTTGAAATTTATTTTGATGGCTTAAATCCTGCTCCAGCTCCATGTGATATGTGGTATGGCCATTTGGACTTGCTGTCTGTGGCATTGTAGTTTTCTTTACAATCAGTTTTATGAGCCTTTTGCCTCCAAATTCGGTTACTTTGAAGTACCCTTACTGTAGCAAGTGCACTGGCTCTTCCTCTTCTAGTTTTTACTGTTCCTCTTAGTCAGGGAGCTGGTGGAGTTTAAACAGAACTGTGTTTATAGTGATCCCTCCTGTAACAGGCTTCTCTGCAAGGCAGCTTCTACTGCCAGTGGTTTTGTGGCAGTTTTAATGCATGTGCTCAGCTCAAACACATTCAAAAACTCAGTAAAAACCCATTTTAGATCTTCAAGCCAAGCCACATTTTTCTACACATAGTTAAAAAACACAGTGCTTAAACACAAAAGCCCTCCCACAGCATTTTCTGTGTGACTTGGGCTCAGATTGTAAAAGAAGATTTGTTTGCCATGTGTCACAGATCAGCATCTTCTGTTCCTGGAAACCACCTTCACATTTCTTAGGCCTGAACCTGCTACAACTGCTTAGTGTCTTGGTGCTTTCGGGATTGTGGCAGAGGGTTCTTGAGTGCAGGATGTTTTCATATCCTGGCTAATGAAATAGGGGTGACTGGACTTCATACTGAGGGAAATGAGGTTATAAAAGTTTATAAGTTACATATTTTAGCCCAGATAACTTGCAAAGTTCCTTCCTTTAGCAGAAGATATTAAATTCATGTTGTTTTATGAAACTTCATCCAAGTCAAAGTCCTTTTACCTTCTTTGCAAAATTATCTCATTTTCTTTAGTAATCTGTAGCCAGAAATTAAAGAAATGTGAACAGCCAGACCTTCAGTTCCTGCTGTTTTATCTCTGTTTATGTTCAGAGGACTTGCTGTGGTGACCCTTTCCTTATATTTATGGTAGTGATTGCCAGTTTGGTTTCTCTGTCTGATTCTTGGTTTCACAAAAGATCTCTGCAGCAGTGCTGTATGGGAGATGGGGAGTGTCTTGGTTAGTTCAATCCCTCAGGACCCTTCAGACCTTGGAATTGATCTGCCCAGTGAGCTCCCTATGGAGGAGAAATGCAGAAAAGTTTCCCGAACTGATTACCAAATGTATTTTCCTCTTGAGACAAATATTTGTTGTGATGAATGGAGTAGCAGCTGGGAAACTATTTAAAGACATAACTAAGGTGAAATCAGTGGAATTTCAAATTGAATGGGTAAATACTTTGGGAGGGAGGTGCTGGTAGAAACCTTTTTAAAAAGTCTCACTACAAACTGAAAAATCAAAGAGATATAAATCATCTTGAATTTTCTGACTTTGAGAAAGCAGTTCTTATTGAGAATAACAAAAAAAATCCTGAAAGCAGTCAGGAAGTCACGTTTTCTCACTGTCTTTTTCTGCTCCTGTGTCTCATGCAGAGCTGTTAGAGATTTTGCCACCACCTTTGTGAACGTCAACGTCACGTCTGAGCCTCATGAAGTGTCCGCTCTCTGGTTCCTGTGGTATGTGAGGCAGTGTGGGGGCACATCCAGGATCTTCTCTATCACCAATGGGGGCCAGGTACAAAATGTCTCATATTCTTCCTCTTCTCTTGAAGCTATAGGGAGCAAGTAGAGTGTTCTACCCATCAAAGCCCTGCAATTAATGAAAAGACAAGAGCATGCGGCACTGGAGACAGTCGTGTTCTCATGGGGTGATACAGCCCTTGTCAACTAACCCTGTTTAATGAATAATTTTATTAGCTAGGCTTTGGGATAAACAACTGGGAGGGTTCTGCATTCACTTCAGCACAATACTTTTGTTACTGTTATGGTGCTTTTTTGCCAATTTATTTTCTATGGTTACTTGGCACATTTGAATGTTTTCAAGAGTTCAAAGTAAGTGTACTTCAAAGTGAAATAGGGTGGTTTTTTTGGTGTCGAAGCCTCTAATGACAAGAGTTGGAGGTAGATAGCAAAAAGCCCTTCATTTTTGGGTCAACTCACATGGCAACATGTTTTATAAGCTACTTCAGACTGTTCCTTGATCATGGCAGGTGTCTGGCTGCCTGGAGAACATCATGGTTTCCATGTGATTGTTGTGGATGAAATTTCAGAAAACGGAGGACAGGTTTGTCCAAGTAATTTGGATGTGTTATGTTGGCACCCTTTATTAGCCTCCTACCTCAGTTAACACAGCCTCAGAAAGCATGTGCATCATTTCAGACTTAAGCTACCCACTGGAAAAGTGGAGACAGCACCATACCCTCCCAAGTGTCCTGGGATAGGAAGACATTAAGAGAAATTGCCTGGAGAGAGGCAGTCTCTGTTTACATGTCTGCTGGGGTAAGAATAGACAACCATGTGTCAGGAAGGATGTAAGTAGTGCTAATGCTGTCCTGAAGAGGAGCCAGACCTAAGAGCCTTCCTCCTGAGAATCCCCTCAATCATGTTTGCTGTCCCACATCAGCAATGGCTAGACATTGCAGCAAGAATCAAAAAGAAAATTAATCCCATACTCATAGCTAAACAAGACATGGGGAGAGGAGCACGCTAGCCTGGGAAGAGTACTTCCTTCCCTTTGTGCCTGAGTGGGAAAAGTTGTCTTTGTTTCTATAAGGTTTCCCTCTTCCTTCACCCCAATTAATATCAGTTGAGTAAAAACACTAAGAGTTTCTGACTTAGTGGCCATGACAAGCCTTATAAAACTTCCTTAGGCAGCCATTTCAGTTTTTCAGCACAAGACTTCATGGACCTTTTCCTCCCTGCCAGTACCAGCATCTTATATGTAAAAGTGAGCTGCTTAATACAACACTGGTGGATCATAGATAAAAGAACATTTAGTGCTTCCCCTGAGCCTCTGCACAGACATCACAGGGAAATGTGTCACAGACTGTGCTTTTTTCCAGATGGCACTGTCTTTGTGTCTTCCCAGGGACAGATAAAGCCCATTGCCTCTTGCACTTGAGATCAGACCCAGTTAAATATCTGTCTTGCTTCTGGGCTGGTGCAGTCTTTCACTGTACAAATGCAAGTTGGTTTCTTTGTCAGACATGAGGGTTTTGGTAGCACCGTGATGGATAAAATATTAAAAACCTCTTTTGAATGAAGTGATATATTTATGCTAGCTAGAATACCTACATTAGATGTGTGTGTTCTCTAGGTTTCAAGACACTTAAAGCCAGATCATTAGGGAAGCCATTGCAAAAGTGGTTTAGTCAGCAATAGACACTGAGGCTCAGGTTTTTGCCTTCACTCTTCTGAAAGTCTGGGTCTCTTTATGCGCCCTTAAGACTTGCAGATTTGGCCTGGAGTTTCATGATGGTGAGCAGAAATCATATTCAACGTTGTTGTGATTAATGCTGTTGATTTTTATTGATTGTGTTTGTTTTCTGTTTGTTTTTTCCTTTAGGAGAGGAAGTTTGTAGGGGGTTCTGGTCAGATATCGGAGAAAATAATGGAACGCCTCAAAGGCAGAGTTAAACTGGAGAGACCTGTGATCAGTATTGATCAGACAGGTGATAATGTCCTTGTGGAGACTCTAAACCATGAGATATATGAGGTAATTCGATCAGAATAAAAGTAGAGTACGCATTTAGTAGGGGAATACATCTGCTGTAGCTCTAAGCCAGATGTAATCAGGAAGTACCCATTTGTGTGTGCCTATTTCTTGGACTATGCTGACACTGTGAAATCTGCTTTACAGATTCGTTTATGACCTGGGTCTCTTCTTGGTGTTCTGCTACTTAGTGCCTGTCATTACTCTGACTTTTTCTGCCGTAACTTTTTATGCGTTCATTTATTTTTACATTTTAGTTCTGCATTGTGACCAGTTCAAAGCAAGGGAAAATAACCTTCCTATTTCTAAGTTTGTGGTTTGCAGCACAACAAAAAAGAAGACATTTCAAATACCTTGAGTAAGATTTTGCCTCTGTACAGGGGTGCTGTGACATGCTCCATCAGCACATCATCACCCATGGCACCCATGGGGCAGCAGCTCCTCTGCATGCAGTACCCAGCGTGCCATAGGAGTCTATGCAGGATAGTCAGGATCTGCAAGACCCTGTCTCACTGGTGACAGTGTTTGGAGGATATTTAGAGAATGCTAGCAGAAAGGGAAGGGCTGTTTGACAGGGAAGCTGGTCCAAAGATGTCCTGGAGGAGGGACTCTCCTTTCCCCGGGGATTTTTAAGCCCAGGAGTTAAACTGCTGTCTGCCTCCATTATGGCTGACTGACAGTCAAGTGGGAGGAGACAGGCTTCCTGCACTCAGCAGCTCCCCCAGCCTGAGAGCAGCAGTGTTGTGATATAGTGTCACCCTGAGCCCTGAAGCAGAGCGTCCTTCCTTGCTCCAGTCAGACACAGGACCTGCAAGAGGGATGGAGCCTGTTCAGGAAACCTGAAATCACCATCAGTATAGCCTGTCCTGAAGTAGTGTCCTGTGAACATGCACAAACATGATTTTTTTTAGCAAATTATAATTTGGACAAATGTGGGTCGTATTTTCCTGGGGATGATAAAAGTTTTACCTGTGCCATAAGATCTCTCTTGTCCCATTTTCCCACCTGTCGCCAGCCAAGTTTCAACTCTGGTCTGTTTGTTCCAGCTGCTTTTTTTTTTTTCTGAAATGGCAGAATTATTTTGATCCCCTGGAAATATCTGTGTGGGAAAGCCACGTAGCAGATTCAGGTGTGGGAGAGATATTAACAACCATTAAGAGTGTCTTTCAAATGTGTCCTGCAGGACAGCGCCTTGTCCGTGCTGACTGTGTTCTACGTTGCAGGGCAAGTATGTGATCAGTGCCATCCCTCCAATCCTGACAACGAAGATTCACTACAAACCAGAGCTGCCACCAAGGAGAAACCAGTTAATTCAGCGTTTGCCTATGGGGTCTGTCATAAAATGTATGATGTACTACAAGGAAGCCTTCTGGACAAGGAAGGGTAGGTGGGGAGAGTGAAGGGCTTGGGAGCCCCATGCTAAGCAATTTTCAAAGCTCTGCTGTCTATCAATCAGGAAATAAACCAAAGGGAGGGTTAAATGTGCCAAACCCCTAAACAAAACACACAGAAAAATGAAAAGTAAAGCTCCTTAGAAAGGGGAACTCTTCCTCTGAGCTTGAATGCCTGCCTTGCCCCAAAGATGAGTCCAGAGCCAAACACAATCCTGAATCTCATTGCTGCTGAGGTGGAATGACCAAGAAAACAAGCAAAGTTTCCCTGGGAAGCATTGCTGAAACTTGCATTGCACAGAAGAAATGGACCTGCAGCAACAGCTCCCTGCTTCTCCCTGCCAGGGACAGAGTTAAGTCAGCCAAAGAGAATTTGCAGCAGATGACAAGCAAAGCTTAAGGTGTAAGCAAGACCTTTCCCCGGTTTTAATCCTCTGTTCTGCAGACTTGATATCTCAGAGGACTGGGAAAAGTAGGTTAGCTTTTTGTTTAACTCAAGACATTTTTTCCATGCTGCAATATCATGTTTTTCTCAGCTTTGGCTGATACCATTTGCAGAACTATTTGTGTGAACCGATTAGTTTCCACTTCCTTTGTAACAATGCTGAGAGTGGAGAGAATATTTCTTAACCAAAGTAATATGATTTTTTCATGTTTCAGGGCATAAAATGGCCATTGGGATTAGACAGAAGTATAGTCAGGTTTTATACATTGTTTTCTGTATGAGATTTTTTGCATGTTCATCTGAAACATGTCCTAATGTAATACTGTATTAGATGGTCCATGTTTCCACTGCATTACTGTTATTATGGGACAACATTCCTAACAATCTTATCATCAGCAAAATCAATATAGAGTGTAAATTTTAGCCCACAGTGACCAGATGTGATTACACTGCGTTTTGTTTAGGCCAAAGTTGTTCATGTAATGAATCACCGTAGTTCTTGCTAGATCAGGTTTTTTTTAATGTTTTTTGCCCGGGCTTGTAGCAATCCACAGGAATTCCTTGCTAAGTAATAATGGAATTTAAAAGACTTTTATAAGTCTGTGTACAAAATTTCTCAGAGTTAGAGAGAAGAGAGTGGAGAGACTGTTATAGAAATGCTTCAGACGTGCAGGTATTATTGGTAACAAAGGAATTACTGCACAATTCTTTTTATGGATAATGTTCCTTGCTCATTACTATCAGAAACAATGATCATCAACAAGTTTCTCTGACAATCCTCTTGGGTTTTTTTCCTCTTAGGTTACTGTGGTTCCTTCATCATTGAGGATGAAGAGTCTCCAATTGGAATAACCATAGATGACTCCAAACCTGATGGATCTTTCCCTGCCATTATGGGGTAAAAGCTTCTAGCCCGTACTTACAGACGTGTATTTCATGTTGTATGAGTGAGTGAAAGAAAGAGGAAGAGGTGAAAGGACCAGGCTACATCAGTGTTGCCCACTCCCACAGTCTACATAGGGGGATGAGAGCACTTCCAACAAGCCTCTTGTGCCTCTCTAGCCCATATAAGCTTTTTAGTGAAGGTTCTGCTACAAACAGGCTCTCCAAAGGATATGGTTGGGAAGGAGTTGCTGAATTCAGCTGTAGTCCATTTTAGATATTCAGTTCATGGGGTTTTTTTGCTGAGGATTGGATTTAGAAATAAATCCCTTCCTCACCTAGCTGTATGAGCCTGTATTTGGTTTATGTTGGGCTTTGTTTAGCATCTGGGCCAAAATGACAGTGCAGTTGTCCAAGGAATCCTCATTTGCTTCCTCTCACTGTTGAGCTGAGTCAGGACAACCAACCCCAGCTGGTTGCTGAGCAGGGCAGCAGCCGTGCAGTGAAGAAATCAGGATTCTGAAGTAACTGACAAGTAAAAAAGTTACAGTTTGGACAAACAGATGGGGCAACATTGACTGGCTTTTAAAAGAGGTGAAACCAAATGAACAAACAATCTTTACAAATGTTTCCACTGTAATCTGAGGTGAGACTGCCAAAAAAAGGCCAATATAAACATCAGGCAAGTACTTCCTAAGTGTCTGACAGGGAAAGCTTACCACTTCTACTGAACTGTACATGTTTATGGCCATGTTCAAGGCTTAAAAACTTCCATGACCTGAGAGCAGTAAGCCTCCCACAAACCCCATAAAGCAAATGGTTTCCTGCTTTCTTCTTCCTTGTGGATTTATACAACTTTCTAAAAGAGTGCAGGAACATACTTCATCCCCTGGGTACCTCCACTAAGGTCAGATGAACTAATTGCCAAATCTGTTTCCTTCAAGATGAATAAGCATTAATCTCAGTTCTTCCAGGGCTGGTCCATGACACTGTGCAGAGCTTGTCAGAGCAGCAGGCTTTCATCACTTACTAACACCAGGTGACGCAGTGGTTGTGTTCAGCTGTCTGCTAGACTTCTGAAGCTCAAGAAAACTTGGGGACTCAGTCTTTTTGGATGAGACCTAAATATAAGAGGGTGGGCAGTGCAGGCCTGGTTTGCTGGACACTGCCATGTCTCTGCCCACTTTGGGTACAACTTTGCTGTCCCCAGTGGGGACAGAGAGTTCATTCCCACAGAGCAAGATGAGGCCGGTGCTGGCAGCTTTGAGAACACTTTCAATCTGCAGCTTTCTCATCTGGTAGCTGCCAGGCAGCCCTGTACATCTACCCTCTGGGAATTCAAACTCTCCCTTTCAGTTAACTCCCCAGGGTACCCTGCACAGGCCTTTTCACCCATGCGACCTGCAATTATTAAGTGCCAAGGCATGATGACAAAATGTCAAGCACATCCTTTTTTTAGAGTCATTTCAAGCAAGAGCTTGCAAATCAGCTGGGGAGCTGATGCTGCGTGATATTTATATGCCATTTATTTTCTTTTCAGTTTCATTCTTAGCAGAAAGGCTGGAAAACTGGCCCATCTCAGTAAGGAAGAGAGGTAAGAGTTCAGAAGCTGTAAATATTTCAGAAGCAAGTCGGTTCTCTGGGATGCTTCCCCACAGGAATGTGCGTGAATATGTGTGTGCATGTGCACATACAAACACACTTGATGCAACTACCAACACTGGAAACTGGAGCAAAAATTGAGCTTTTAGCATAAACAGGCCTAGATGCTAATGCTTATATCCATCCAGTTATGGATATTTCTAAATTTTCAAGTCCTGCCCACTCTTCCATGCTATGGCTTACCAGCTCTGCATCTCTGTGTGAACTAAGATTTTTCCAAAGGTGTTCCCAGACTGCAGCCTCACTGAATGATGCTTCACCCCAGGGATATAGGGAGCACTGACGTCTAGTTTTGGGTCTCCTTCACATTCAGTCTGGGTGATAGTTTTTGAACTTCTCTGTTTACAAAAGTATAGTTTCTCCATTAGTCAGTGAAATGAACAAACAGTACTTTTTAAATGTGGCTTTTAGTACTGTGCAAGTGAAACAGCAGTTCTGCTTAGGAATGTGAATAGTATTCTTCAGCTCATATTTTATTCTCAGCTGTAGTAAATCTGTAGGGATTTCACTGATTTATAGTGCTTTTCTTCTGGTCTTACACCAGTGAACATGAAAAAGAATTGGCTTTGCATCCCAAAATAACTGTATGAAGATTTACTTTTTTAGACCTCATTGCCAAAATCAACCTTCATTTCCCACTCCCTGGGTCCATTTTGGATGTAACTTTTAAGCATCAGCATTTGAAATATGTATGCTAAGATTAGAACTTGAAATCAGACTTTAAAACAAAGCCAAACACAACTTTCTTTCCAATGTGTTGCAATAAATTTGTTTAGTTTTTTATAAGGAGAGCAAGAGCTGAGAGATTTTTCCCTCCCATTTTTTATGACTCTGATTTTATTTTCATATAGGAAAAAGAAGATCTGTGAGGCATATGCCAAGGCATTGGGAATGAAAGAGGCTTTACAAGTAAGAAATGAATGCTTGTTTTCACCTCTGTTGCACAATAATGTTGCTTCTTTGTTCTAGACAATGAAGCCAAAGTTCCTGGCACCTAAAATGTGTACCTAAAATTGCACGTTGTGCTACACAATCTGTACTCCCAAGGGGAGGGCAGCAGCATCTAGTACAGGAAGAAAAGAACTGCCAGTCTCACTCTGCACAAGAAAAGAGAAGGCAGGGCATGTTTTAATTTGTCCTGTCATTTCCCCATGGGAGGCTGCTGTTTCTGTAAAAGCAAAAAAATTTGTTTTGTGCAGATGGATAGCATTAGCCAGATGACATGGCACTCCTTTGATAGGTATTCTTAGACTGTTTTTTTCCTTCTTGAAAAGAAATCTATTCTTTATTTCCAATTTCTCTGCCAGTGTTTCACTCTGTAATGTCTGCTGATACTTACAGCCTGTGCATTATGAAGAAAAGAACTGGACCATGGAGCAATATTCAGGGGGTTGTTACACAGCCTACTTCCCACCAGGCATAATGTATTCCTATGGAAGGTAAAGCAGAGAATGCTTTTCTTTCTAATTCACATTTCTTAGCTCATGTGCAATGATATACCTTATGCAATAAAATTATGGCATATGTAGAATATGCCTCTTTCAGCTCCCCTACTCCCCAGCTAGCAAGGGTCTTGTTATTCACTTGAATAACAGCAGATTTTCTCTTGTGACTTTCAAGGAAACAAAACACAAAGTCACAAAGAGACCTGCTAGAGACACAAAACCTTTCCCCACTAGATTACTTACAGTATTTTGTGCTACACAGTATTTGCAATGGATCCCTTTAAAGCCCAGTGAGACCTGCAGGGCACACATGAAGAGCCTCCACTGACTGTGTAGGTGGAGCAGCAGGTTCAGGTGAAGACCAGGAGATCCTTAACGTGTCCAACATGGGGTTACACGCTGTGTCTGAGCAAAGATGCGTGTGGGAAGAAGTTATCTCAGGCACAGACTCTTCTGTTGTCATTTATCTGAACACTTGTGCCTCTGGCCTGGGGAAGCTGGTGTCATACAGACAAGGAAAACCTAATTATGGGTTAGATGGGAGCCCTTACACCAAGCACATCCTCATTACCTACAGCTGAGATGGCTGGGATGCTTTTGCAGCTTTACACATCTGAGGCACTGGCTTATATGACCCTACAGGGTGAATGCAACTCCCTGAATGCCAAGGCCTTCAGCTGCCATCGCCTTTTGGCAGGACTTACAGCCAGACAAGTCCAGCCTCCAAATAGAAGCAGATATTAGTGACTCGTCACTGCAAAAACGTCATTCACAGAGTTCCTCTGTAATGGCAGGATAACAACAGACCTGCCATGCAGAAGACATAAATCTATCAGCTGCACTGCATTTCTGGAGGCTGTTAGGATTATCCCTTATCCCAGCACTAAAATAAGGCCTGTATTACTTAGCTCAGAAGTGGGGCACGCTGATTTATGCCTTAGATTTTTCTCTCCCTCAGATCTTGAGTTCTGTGTACAGAAGCAAGTAGGTGGTCGTGCAGGGACAGCTTATTGCTCCATGCTCCCCAGCCCAGGGCTGCAGGGATTCTGGAGGACTGAAGCCGAGCGCTCCATCAAAGCCATAAATTGCTTTCAGAAGGATCATCGCCTTCCTGTTACTTGCCATCTGACACTCTCCATTTGTTTTGAAGGATCATTCGCCAGCCTGTTGACAGGATCTACTTTGCTGGCACGGAGACAGCCACCCAATGGAGTGGATACATGGAGGGGGCCGTGCAGGCAGGGGAGAGAGCAGCCCGAGAGGTACAGACCGTCTGTTTGCTTTCAACATCTCTGTTAAAAGGCTAAAAAGGATTAAGTAGAGCTTGGAGGGTCTGATTTTATGCAAAGACTCCTAGAATTGACAGGGGGTGATCCCAGAAAACAGCATGCACTAAAGCCTTTTTTTTTTTTTTAACTTACTTATTTTGGGTTTTTTTGAATAAGTGAAGCCAAGAATCTCTCCCAAATCAGAATGTAACTGCACTGGAGACTTAAAATGAAGCTCATGTCATTTACCACATCTAGAAGAAAAAACCTTCCAACCTGATGCTGCCCACAGATATAGTACCTCAATTCCTAACAAATGCATGTTTTATAAGTAATGTAAGTCATTGCAAATGCTCACAGCTATTTCCTATGTAGAAATCTGGAAATCTGAACATTGTTCTCATGTTTGATCTACGCCTTCTAATTCTCCTTTTACAAAAGAGTACCATTAGCTCAGCTTTATGAATTTGTAATGTGCAGCTCTGATAATGTCTAAATCTCAGAATGACACACATTGGGCTGGGTTCCCAGTCACAGTGAAATCCCTTTACAACAATCTGGAGGGAGGGAGGGGGAAAAAAGCATTAAAGGGTGTACATTACAGTCACAACTGCTGCATGGCAAAGCCACAGAGTTGTTATTTAAGGGAAAACCAGCCCTTTACTTCCATGTAGCAGAACTTCATGTTCACCTTATAATCCTCATTACTTGCTCTGTTTCAAGTCACCTAATTTCTCTTTCCTTTTCTCCATGCCTGTGAGCAGTAGTTACAAAGATGGGGAGTTTGTCTCTTCTGGAGGCATTCACTTGCTCCCAAGAACCTCCGTGATTGTTACAATCAGTTTATTCTCAAGAAAAACCCTTGGTGAGCTTTGTACTGCCTGAACAGCCAAATAATTCTATGCTTTGAGAGCCCCAGGGTCACATCTCTCCTCTTTCTAGTTTGTGATCCAAGCAGCATCACCTCTAACAGGTTGTGTCCCGAGCACATGGCAGTAACCTCACATTGCTATTTCTCAAACATTTGTGAGAAGAAGCATTTTCAGTTGTACTCAGGAAAAAGAACCAAAAACAAACAAAAAACCAACCAACCAAACAAACCAACAAAAAAGGCAAAAACCAACAAAAGCCATCTAGAGAAGCTGTAGTAGAAATCACTGTATGTTTTCTGGTACAAAACACTTTCAGCTAGTTAATGAACATAACAGTTAATGCCTTTTATCAATGTCACGTTGCTCTGACTTCCTCTGCTTTTCCAAAACTGGAAGTAGCACGGGTTATAATTTTTTCTCACGTGGTACAAATAATTTTTTCATCTAGAGTTATAATTTTTTCTCATGTGGTACAAATAATTTTTTCTTCTAGATATTGTACAGTATGGGGAAGATCTCAAAGAGTGAAATTTGGATGCCAGAGCCAGAATCAAAGGTAAACCAGACTTTCTCACTGTCACCCTGTCAGGCAAACACCCTTCAGTCAGGTACCTCTCTGTTTCGGTGATTCTGTGGGCCCTATCCCCAGGAAAGGTTTTGGTCACCTCACGTGCTGATGGCATTAATTTTTGTGACTTGTCCAAGGAATATTATTACCCCTGTCTGAGGGTTAGATGGCCAAGAGCCAAGGACAATGATCTCAGAGCCTGGGGGACTGAAAAATCCAGGAAATCATCCTAGTTCTGCCCAGTCCCAGGCCATGGGTTTAAGCTAAATATATTGTCCTTCCAGTCACAAGAAATTCCATCTTCACTGTCCTGTTGCTCTTCAGGATGACAGAAAATACATGTTTCACAGCTATGACCCTTCTTCCCCCCCACCAATTGGGTCCTTGGGAAAAACCTGTGATCTCCTCAACATCGTGGGGGACATTTGCCACCGCCCTGCTCACGTGGTGATGGGACTCTGCATTGTTACCATCTTCTCTCTCCCCCAGGATGTCCCAGCTCGACCATTCACCACCACCTTCTGGGAGAGGAACCTCCCCTCTGCTCCAGGACTGCTGTGCCTGCTCAGCTGTACTGTGTGTCTCACCTCTGTGGCTGCTGCAGCGCTGTTTGCCTGTAAAAAGGGACTACTAAATCGAAACTAGCGGGGACCACACGCCCAGTGGAAGCTGAATACTCCCTCTTCTTACTTTTTATCAGACAAGTGTTATTTTGGAAAAGGGCAAAAGTTATTCTCCTTGTGATTTTTCTTTTTGGCCCCATAATTAATGCATCAAATCCACTGGAGTTGCTACCAGCTAAACAGAAATAAATCAACTGTGGGGGTGTTTTTTCAAATTTGCCTTTTTCTTGTCCATTTGTTTTGGTTGGACATGATAACATCAATGGTATATTCCTAATACAGGCAAGGCAAAATGCAGATCACACCTTTTCCGAATTACAGAGAGGTCTTGGAGAATGTTTTTGTTTCCACTCAGGACTATTTTTTCACCATACAAGATAACAAATGCCCTTATGTATTCACCTCAGTTACCAGCTCCGAATATCCGAGGTTATTCCCACAACATCCCCGCTGCACAGAAGAGATTAGCTTGCCAATCAGAGGTAGAATTGCCAAATTAATTTCCAAACGCATTTGATTAATTATTAATCATCGCAACGTGAAACTTAACCCCGAGCTGAATGAAAGAGGGTAATTAGCAAAAAGCACATCACTACATGGCAAGGGAGGAAGCATGGCTGGACTTTCTTCTACCCACTGCCAAGCAAACATCTGCACTGACCTGTCCTGTGTGGTGCCTGATCTGGTGTGACACGACCAGGACGGGGCTCTTGGTCACTTCCTGCCCCGAGAGCACCTGATCCAGCCCAGCCGTGTGCTGTTACAGCACAGTGCAATGAATTAGCAAAGTGAAATCCCCTCTGACTTGCAGCGGTGCTGGCTGTTTTTTTCCAAATGGGAGCAGCTTCCTGGCTGCCTGTCAATTCACTGCCCCCCGTTCTGCTCATAAGCCGTACCGCCTTCTTCCAATAAGGAGAAATGTGTTTGAGGCTTGAATTACTGCCTTGTAAATTACAGTAATTGGATGCATCTGCCTGTTCCGCTCTTATTATGTACATGATACACTTAAAATAATCACTTTAGTGTTTAACTGAAGTCTGGAATGTATGTTTCACAATGTACCATCATTATGTGGTCTTTTTGCCATGAATTTTGAGCATTGTACGTGTCCATGAATGCAACTGTCATTCAACATGGGTGAAATGTGCCTTTCGATAGCCCTGAAACCTTGATCTTCTTATAAATTTTTCTTCAGATTCTTTCTTGCTTCATGTGTTTTAAGTCTGAGGAAGGTGGTTCTTCTCTAGTGTGTGAAGGCACATCACATGTGGTAGCCACCAAACTCTTGCTCTGCTCGATATAATCCATATGTATGTGCCAATAGAAATACCTACCTGCCCCAGATGACTTTGCCCTGGGCATCTGCCTCAACCACATTCTTATGTCCTCTCACTTTTACGTACAAAAGCCTTGTAGAGACACCAGAAGTGCAGACCAATCTCAGCCAGGCTCCCCACCAGAAGCCTTTTCCAGAGGGAAGGGGTGTTTCAGGTGGCCCCTTTCCCGATATGAGCAGGGGCTCACAGTGCCAGAGTTAAGCACCACACAGTTGTACAGACAGTACAGTTCTCCTGAGCTACTCTGTTCACTGTTGCAGCCATTCTGTGTGAGGATCAGCCAGTCACTGCTGGTTTCTCTGGGGGAAAAAATGCCTGGATGGATTATCTATAAGAAGACTATCTACATTTTCAGCTTCGACTTTTCCATCTACCTTGAACTTACACACATACTTCAAATTATTCTCACTGGCAAGGAGAGAACAGTCTCAGTAGGAAGCAGCAGTGTGGGATTTTGAACACAGTAAGTGCAATATTAAATGCTTGTTTAAAGGACTTTTGACAGGTTGGTTTAGCATCCACCTTGGGAATATTTTAAGGGGGAAAAAGGGACTAGCATGAATTGCTGATTGACTCGAGGGCTCCCTGCTGAACATGTTCTTCCCAGCTCCAACCATTTACAAGCAGGGATTCCTGTGTTCAAGGACTACCCCGTTCATGCAACCTGGTGCAGCCACAGTGCCTCCTTGGGGAGGGAGCGTAGACTTGATCCTGATGAACCTTTTGTGATGGGAAACAGTTCTACACCATCACACGCTTCCCCCGGGGGGTATTTCCACCACCTGAAAAACACTGCTCGTATCTGTTCAAAAATAATTCATCCGTATGTGTATTTCTAGCAACTAGAGCCATTCATTTTTGGGCTTACTTTAAACTTGACATCAGAATTTTGGGTGCATGTGCAGAAGGACCCCAAATCATTTGGAATATGCTTATGAGCCAACACCTTCCAGCTTCACTTTTCACCTCACCCATGCACGTTTCTATTGCAATTAGTTTGGGGTTTGAAGTACAAGTTCCATTCAGCTGAACTCATCTCACGCTGTTAAACAGGGCCAGGTACAATGTTCCCCACTTCAGAAGGAAAAGCACGTCTGACTGCTGTGGGATTGGCAAGCAGCAAGTGAAATGAAAGAGGTTGATTAAAATTGGCATTTCTGAAACTCCTGCAGCTCCCAGGCACCACGCTGCTGCAGAGAAAGGGCAGTGCCTGTCAGAGATTACAGACCAGTTCCCATCCTGCTTTAATGCCCTTTCTGACAACCAGACCAATTTCCCTGTTTAAACATTAAACATTTAGCTTAAATATTAAACAGCCAGGCATCTTTCTTAAACCGATTTTTAAACAGAATGGGACCGAGTTTATCACCGCTGACAACTCTCCAAGAGGGCTGCTGCTGGTATTAAATCCATGAGGATGAAGCACCAGGGAAACACCTTTTTCCTGTGGGGCCCAAGTGGAGTACTCACCCAGGCTGTGGAGTGGGAAAACCTTTGGTCACCCTCCCTAACCAGGGGTGATAAGCCCTCCAGTTTTTGGAAGAAGAACCCTGCACTCCCTTGACACAAGTGGGGGGGTGCTCTGTCCTCTAAGGAAAGGGTGAAATGGGAGATGCTGAGGTCCACATTAAGTCCATCAGCACCAGGGTGGGAGTTAAATTGCATTGACATGGGAGATGGGGAATGGGAAAACCTTAGGTGAAAGGGCTGCTGTTTGATGCTTGAAAGTAAAACAAACACCAGAGCAAGCAATGGCAGAAGGAGCAACAGAGAGAGGAAAGAGAGAAAAAAAAAAGACTAATCATCTGTACTAGCAGTGAAATAAGAAGCACCACAGAATAGATAGATCAGGTGGTCCAAAATAAGCAAGCAGAGGTGATATATGTGAGAAAACCTGCCTTTTTTTAATTAAAATTGCCGGGTTTACTTACAGATAGCATACCAGTTTTGTCCAGACCCCAGGGATGGAAAGAGATACCCTCACGCTTCCCACCTCCTTTCTGCCCCACTCCCCTTGGCTGCAGCTCTCGCCTGTGCAGGGAGACATGGCTGCTCCCTCCCTGGCTGCCCCCTCCCTGGCTGCCATCAACTGGCCTCATGGGCATGGAGAGCCTGAAACAGGACAGGCTGCTGGCTCACCTGGAGCTGGATGGCCAGGAGGTGCAGGAGGAGAGCCACTGACTGGCCTTTTACCACCATCAGTCCAGCAACACTTTCCTTCCCTCATCAGCTGCCTGGCACGCAACCTCCGAAATGCCCGGCCTGGGAACCGACAACCCAAACCCCTCTGGCTGGAAACCCACTGTGTGAGAGGTCTGGGAAGGGGGATTAAATGCCAGGTTGCAGGGGCTGTGTGCTTTAGAGCAGTGAAGGTGGATGTTCCCCAGGTCAAGCAGTGGCCCTCCAGTCACGCTCCTCATGCAGGGCAAGGGGAAGGTCTGACCACATTCACCTGCGTTGCTAAAAGTTACATCCAGCCTCAAAATGCTGAGGCACTGGAGCAGTTTGCCCAGAGAACTTGTGCACGCCCCACCCCTGGAAGTGTTCAAGGCCAGGTTGGATGGAGCTCTGAGCAACCTGGTTTAGTGAAAGGCGTCCCTGCCCATGGAAGAGGGGTTGGAATGATTCCAACCCAAAACATTCTATGATTCTATGAAAATCCACTCCGGGAAAGCAAGAGGTTGCTGCCTTGGTCTCTTTGCTAATCATTCACCAGCAATAGTTTTCAATCAGTGTTTGATCCAGCCCCTGGTTTCACATTTGATTTCCTTTCCAGGATCAAACATACCTCAAACTACCAGCAAAGATTAGTATTATATATTTGAATAAAAATACCACCCAGGGTGATGTGCCAACACTGTGCAGTCTGGCAAGTCTAAACATCCAGATTTCCCGCCAGTTGATTCCCACGTCCCATTGATCAGGTTCTGATGCCTGACAGCAAGGGATTTCCCCATCCAGAAACCACACTGGGATCAAGCTGGGGACTGTTTTTATGCTCTCTGCACAGAGATCATCTCCCAGCTCCTGACAGCAGCATCAAGAAATAGAAAAATGGACAAATCCAGAGAGCCCTCTTCTGTGGAAACATGATTCTAGTCAGTTTTCTTCTCTTCCTTGTGGGCTTTTTCTCTCCCACAAAGCAGTTGGAAACAAACAATTTTGCTTTGTAAATGCTCCCTGCAACAGTTGCCTCTCACATACAGACAGACAAAGCAAATTTCATCTTGGTGAAAATCCAGGAGGTGTAATCAAATGCGCTCTTTGTGAGTGAACTGTAACTTGTCCTTTTCCCAGTCAGCTCCTGCCCTTGGCAATGAATACTTTGGGATCCAATTGTAATTCCTATTCTGCTCTTTATTTGTAGGACTTGGCTTTCCAGTTTCAGTTCCCTGTTTCTTGCTCTCTTTGTTTTGTTTGGTTTTGGAGGTTTTTTGCTTCCTCTTGTGTAACGGAGACAGAATAACTAAGGACACATAGAAGGAGCAGGGAAAAAGGTTCCCAAGTGAGAGCACATTACTTAGGAGAGGGAAGCTTTAGAAGAGCAGTGGTGGCACCTTGCTGGGTGCCAGAGCAGGTCAGCAGTGCCTTCAAGCTGCCCATCTCCACTCCCAGCGTCCCAGGGATAGGATGTGTCCCAGACCATAACCATGAACTGCACTGCCTGTGAGCTTACTGAGCACAAGAAATTATAAGACAGGTGTCCTTTGTCATCTCTATCTTCCCACTGTTCATCTTTATGAAATACACCTGTGAGCTCTGCTGCCACTCACAGTACAAGAGGGCAGCTGCCACTCAAGATGGGGTTGAAAATTAAGCAAAGGACACAATTACTGCCTATGTTGGCATTTGGACTTCCAAATGGCCAGACCATACACTTGAAAACTCCTTGGATTATAGCCTGAGCATCATCATTTTCATCAAAATATCAGTTAAATCCAGGAAAATCCAGGACATCTGGCTGAATTCCAAAAGGCAGAGCCTAGCATTTGAGTGGGAACTACTTTTAGCAGACACCAGCTGCAGAGAGCTTCTCTGAAGCATGCCTGGCAGCCCTCCTGATGCTCAGCAGTGTGGCACAGCAGGGCTCAAGGCTGCAATAAAGGCTGCCACCCTCTGGCTACCTAATAGCAGTATTTTATCACCTCACAAACAAAACGGTAGCAGAAGCTTAACACTTCGATTTGCAGGGAGGTCTCAGCGGATGTTTCTGCACTGGTGCTTAATATTCCCATCACGTACTCAAAATAAACTCTGGAGTGGAAACACACTAAAGGAAAAGGATGCAAGTCCACAGCTTCAAGCAGCAGTTCTCACCCATCTCCAAGCTCTGATAAGCCACACTTGAGAAGGCAGAGAAAGGCAAGGTCCATCCCTGCAGCCTCTCCTTCCTGGCTCTAGCCAGTCCCTGGCAGAATTCAAGGCAGTGAAATGGCTGTGGCACTACCCCTCTGCCAGCTCCACAAGACTTCCTCCAAAAGGCAGCAGAAATCCTTACTGCTGCCTGGCAGCATGAAGGAGCTGGAAGAAAAGTGTGAGGACAGATCCTAAATGCACCTGTACTTTTCCCTCCTTTGAGAAGGAGGTTTCTTTGGAGGCAGTTTAAAGCAAACTGAGATAGATAGAGGTGTTGGCCCAAATATGCATGGTCTGAAAAATTACTCTGGCCAAACTCCATCTCATAAAGAAATTATTGGGAAATAATATAGTTTCTAATTTAGTTAAATTTTCTTTTTCTGCTTTGGGCTGAATTGGCAAGTAGAGGATGGAGTAACATCTCCCCTTGATTTTGATTAAGTACAAGAATACATTTCAATTGTTTAAGATAATGACTGCACAGCCCGATGGGACACCTCACTGCCTCAGACCTGGAATAGAAGTTTCCACATCTGAAATTATAATGTAATTTCTGCTAAATGCAACACTGCTATGCAAAGTGTTTTCTTACAACTTGGAGCATATGCAAATCAGGAGCAAACAGCCTGAGAGCTGACAAGGATGCCTCAGTGCATTATTAATATGTTTCCTTTTCTTCCCTCCTTCCCATCCAAGCACCAGAGCACATTCGAGTGCAGTGTTGAATCCCATCAGACAGCAGTGTGAGAGCAAACTGAGCCACTTGACTAACCCAATCAGCCAAAGGCTGGTGTTTCTGCTGGGTACCACTTCCTCAAGTGCTTCTTCAAGACTCTGCTGCCTCAGGGAAACAGCACTTGATGAGACAACCCCGTCCCCAAAGTTACTACTGACGTTCAATGACATTGTGCCCTTGGGCAGGTGAGGCTGGTCTGTGTTTGATCAGACCCTTCCTGCTGTAGGTCAGATGAACAGACCACTTAGATTTGGATGAGCTTTTTTCCCCCCCCTCAAAGTTGCAGAGGTGGTGGGAGGGAGTCTACAGAGCCTGTAGATGCCAGAGTAAATGGAGCTGAATGGATATGGATTATTTTGTTAGGGCTGTTCTGCTAAGAAAGGATTAGGAACATCACTAATAGAAAATTCACTGTGCACATAGGGAAAAAAAAAACCTTGATGAAAGCTAATACCCTTTGCTTCTAAATTAGAAATGGTATCCCACATTATGCCAAGATGCAGAGTGAGACTGTCTTGGTCTCAGAAGAACTTGGTTTGCCTCTTTCAGCAACGCCAGAAAGAATGGAAAACTGGGATAAGCCAGCATGGCCCTGGCTAAAGACCCAGTGGATGAGAGTGTGTGTTCCACAGCTACTATGAGAGCTAACAGGAAAGACATGGACCTGATGGAGTGGGTCCAGAGGAGGGCACGAAGTTGATCACAGGACTGGAGCACCCCTCCTATGAAGACAAGTTGAGAGAGGTGGGGCTGTTCAGCCTGGAGAAGAGACAGCTCTGGGAAGAACTTAGGGTACCTTCCAGTACCTAAAAGGGGCTTACAAGAAGGTTGGAGAGGACTTTTTTCCAGGGCCTGTGACAGAAAAAAGGGTTTAAAACTAAAAGAAGATAGATTTAGATTAGATATAAGGAAGAAATTTTTTACTATGAGGGCGGTGAAACACTGGAACAGGATGCTCAGAAAAATTGTGGGTGCCCCATCCCAGGAAACATTCAAGTCCAGGTTGGACGGGGCTCCGAGCTACCTGATCTAGTTGAAGATGACCCTGCCCATAACAGGGGGTTTGGACTGCCTAACCTGGAAAGATCCCCTCCAACCCAAACTATTCTGTGATATTATGATTCCATAATTCCATGATTCCATTTTAAAATAATTTTTGAACTTTTTCTAACCTAGCCACAAAAGAGCTTATTGCTCCTTACTGTACAAATCATGCACAATAAAATCAACTTACAAAGCCTCTTACTCAGATGTATGTTTTTACAGCTTAACTTGGCACTCAGCTGCTTTTCTAGCAAACACTGCTAATGTTATGACTAGTATATCATGCGTTTGTTTCCAATGACAAACAAAATAATCGTATAGTCTGCCTGCATAAAGGACATCTGCGTATTAACATTTTGTATGTGCAGCTATCTATTAACACGCAGCTTATTACCTTGCAACACATTGGATTCACAGAGCCTACATTATCCCTGTTTGCATTTCTTCGAAACTAAATACCCCGAGAAGCAATTAATTGCCATCAGCAGTTGGTGGGAGGCAGAAGCTGCCTGGTTTGGTATCCAAAGAGCATCTGTGCCACCACACCGGGCTGGTTTAGGACACATTTCCTCTTGGGCCTCTGGGAGCGCTGCCTCCTTTTGGAGCAGCAGCTGGAGGCTGGACAAGGCGCCCTCCAATGTCTGAGAGGCACAAGGCAACTGTGTTTTTGCTCATGAATTGCTCTCTAGGTGGGAAAATATGTACTCTTTGCAGAACAAGTGATAAACATGAGTGAGGTAGACGTTAATGCCACGTATTTCAAACATATAACTGAGATGCTGATTTAGCAACCCCATCCATCTAGATATTCTCCAACATGGAGAGAGAGAAGGAGATGTCTGTAGGAGTCCTACAGTACCTGCATGGGTTGAAACACCATATGAGGAGCCCATCCCTCCCTGCTCACCACACAGAGCAGGACCAGCCGGAAAAGAACAGTGTCTTTTTTCCATCACATACCAAACTATATCTTGGTTTTAAAATCTGAGGCCAGTTTTGCCTTTTGTTCTTGGATGCTTTTTTTTTCTGAGGCAATTCCACAGGGTCAGGGGGAATTTATTCTGCCTTGAGCCAGAAGGCGAAATTCATCACTCCCTCAAACATTTTGGGATTTGCTCCAGATGAGCAATTGGTATAATTACACAAGACAAGAGGAAAAAATGATCCAATGATCATCAGTTCTCATAGTAGCAGTGAGTTTTGCATGATTTAGCCAAATAATTTGCAAACACGTCCTAATCTCTTCTAAACAATGAGTGGGATTTCTAATTGGTTTCTCGGGAAATCATATTTGTATCTTTCATAGGTATTAAACAAAATGGATTTCTCCTGTATTAATCTGTTCACATTGATTTTCTGTATGCTAGACTGCTGGAAATAATGAAGTGTCCCTTGGCTGACAGAGTCTCTTTGACTTGCACACTGAAAGCTTTGTAAATAAGTAAATTATTAATAACACCATTTCAGTTGCCTGCTCTGGGATGCTACAGGATATGTCTGAACAAAGGGTTAAAGAGGTAGGTCAGATCTGACCCAACAAAGCAATATTTTAGAGTCATAACCACTTTTTGGCTGTTTTAAGGGCTGTGAAATGCATTGTTGGTTCTGACATGTGTCTTAGGGGATGGATGCTTTATACAGCGTGCAGAGGATTAGTTGTGGATATTTTCTTTCATGGTATTTGTGCTCCTTTATAACTTGTAATACTGCAAGTTAAGCCCATACAAAGAGCACTGCACACTTTAGATGTTTTTCACATGGATGGTTATGCTTTTTCCAGTATCCATGGTCTACAGTCCCTTCCTGAGACCAAATTTGTTCTTCAGTCACATTATCCTTCCAGTACTGACACTGAGCTGCTGGGTGAAATTAAGCCTGTGATTTCTGTCTCTCTTTTCTTCCAGGGTTTTTATGTTTACACCACAAAACATTTGGTACAAGGTCTGCTTCTTTCCATGTTCAGTTTCAGCCACACACCACCTGCCCTTGACTCTTATGAGCAGCTATAAAATGTGTCCCTGCCCACAGTGTTCTGGTAAAGAAGGTGCTGTGAGAGGTGTATGTTCATGATGGGGACACTCCAACCCCCCTCCCAACAGCAATAAAATCCAATTCTTAGCTGTGAGACAGTTGGTCATCTATACTATTACCAAATGTGGTTTGATTTCTTTTTTTGTAATTGTTTTTTTCGAGGGGACACGTGAGGTCTTTTGTACTTTTTGGGGGTTGCTTAGGTTTTTGGGTTTTTTTTATCCTTCTCTCCTTTTTCTTTACAGAGCTTTCTTTACTGAGAAAAGCTGAAGATACCTCACTAGCTTCAGTATGAAGTGTAAAATGTTGTGGTAGAAAGTAATACTCACCATCACCAACCAAGTCAAAAGGAGCTCCCACTAAAGAAAAGCCTCAAACAATACATGTGACATGACAATATTTATTGATTCTAATTAAGGTTAAAAAAAGTTCACAGCTGTCAGATAAAAATATCTGGAGAGCCTATTGAAAAGGGAGCTGAAGAAGGAAACCAAGGGAGACAGTCACCACAGAGGCACTTTAGAAAATGCTACAGTTATAAAAGGCACAAATTCATCACACACAGAGCATATATATTCCTGCAAAGTGAATTCACTCTTTTTTTTTTTTTCCAAAACACAGAGGCAGGCATCACTGAGCACTGACCTGCACATGACCACAGGAGACACGCTAAAAGCAGCAGTCTATGACAACGCCTAAACAATGTGACTGCAGAGACACTTTGAAAGCAAGACTGCTTTGGCTGTCTGCTTTTTACAATCTGTTCTTCAACAGAAGTAAGATCAAGGTGACCTTAAGGTGGTGGAGATGGGAGAGGGAATGTCAGTTCATTTAAACACAGGTCAGGTTTATTTGTGAGCATCTGTAATCTGTGATTTAAGTGGGTTTGCTTCTTGCCTGAGAGCAGTGGCAGATCTATTATTTAATCCTGGCTCCCTTTTGCATCCAAGTACTTCTGGAGGACATAGAATTATCTCTTCTTCAAAAAAAAATCTTAAAATTTTTGCACATCTGTGAAGTCTAACTCAGTGAAAACAACAGTCCCACTGAGGACATGGTAAGATCATTTTAATAGAAGACCTAAGCTTCTCTCCAGGCCTTGGGTTCCAGTGATGGACAGTGCTCAGACATACACTTAACTGTGATTAATGTCATTGTATTGATAGCAGATGTGCTATTTAGAATCAAGATCTGCACCGAGAAAAAAAAAAAAGCACTAGTTAAAGGAAAGACAAGGGGCCGCCTCAGACTGCTCACATCCTTGTTATTGTCGAGTAGTTTATGCAATCAGCTTTCAAGTACTTTGGTTAACACAGATTATCATGCCATGACCCAACACCCTTTGAAGTGTACAGTTGCTATCAGAACAATGTACAAGAAAGTAAACCTCTTTTTTTTTTTTTGAAAACTCTTAAGAGCATTACAAAATATGCATGGTAACACAATTCAGTTCATAAGAGACAAGTACACTTATTTCCATCGTTGTTCCTATAGTACCTTTTACAAAGCTGGTAAACTTTGCTGGAACTTTCATGATAGCAGTTGCCTCATCAAACTTCTTAATAAATTAACAAGATAGCATGACTGGTTGCCCGTTAAACCAGACTTCATTCCTCTCTTTGAAGGGTTGGCAGGAATTTTAATTTAAAAATGTAAGCCAGTCCTAACAGTTCCCTCTACCCAAGGGGAAGCAGCTTGATTCTCAACCTACATCTCTCAATTCACTCATCACACAAAGTGCCACATACTCCTTTTACATGGAAAATGTTGAGAAAACAGCAGCAAATCCTTTTTTCTATCCCACAGTCGTGGTAAGATCCACAGCATAATCACAGCAAGACATGTCGGTAAAGACAAAGAGAGCCTTCCTAACACTTTGGCAGCCTGCAAGGAAGAAGACAGAGACTTTAGCGTGTTAATATAGATGTTACAATTCAGACTTCCCAGCTTCAATCAGATTTGGTTAGAAATCCCAGGGAATCCAAATTTATTTTGAGATTTCAAGTCCCACCTACTTTTAGTTGTGCAGAACAACACGAGAAATGTTTGTGGGGTTTTGGTTTTTTTACATTTTTGTTTCACTTTGAAACTAAGAATAAGAAATGTTGATAAGTATAGAAAATGTTCAATTTTTTTTTTAATTGACCAGTCTCATGAAAAGTCCGTGATTCAGTTCACTTCTAACTACGTAACTTCTGATTTTTTTGGAATTTATCCCTCAGTTAGTTAGACTGAGACAAACTTCTGCCAGAGTCAGGAGCAAAGAAGAGAGAGATACATTCTGGATGTGAATAAAACCAATTTATCCTCATTAGTTTCATGAATCTGCTCCCCTGTAGGGAACTGAAGAGTATTTCTAGGGCAGAGGCAGGACCTGAATTCCAAACAGTTTTGGCAGGGAAATCATGTGCAAATGAAGCAGCTCTTTATGTATTAAGTGTGCATTCGCTGTCTAGCACTTAGAGATATCAGGGCGAAGACTTTAAAAACGTTTACCCAAATTTAGGTTCCTGTGTTTATTTCTGGCCTAAGAATTGTCTGAGTTGCAAAAGCTCTGAACTTCCCATCCAGCTTTCGGTTCCTAATTGATTTAGTAAATAAATCCCATGGAGAGAAAGCCATGTAGAAGCAGTCTGCAGTAGGCAAATGTCCCAGCAAATTAGAGCTCTGTGTGATACAATGAGAAAGGCCATATGTACACTGGCTGCACTGTTCTGACTTAAAGATCTTTATGTCTGGAAAGTTCCCTTATGCATTTTAAAAGGCTGTTATGAGGATATTCAATTGTGATAAAATCCAAGCTGCTGCTACAAGATGTTTAACGGGCATATCAAGTTAAAAAGAATGAAACCTAAGGGCCAGAAAATGATGTGCTGCTCACAAATATTACAGCTTTCTAAGTAGTTCAGTAAATTTCCATGGGACTATTTGGAGAACAAAGTACTATTCTGCACAAGCAAGATCAGATGCTAGCCCAAAAAGTCTGCCTGAGACTGTTCTACAGTTCCTCTACCGTCTGCTCACACTAGTTGTTGAATTTATTATTATACTCCCTCCACGGCTTTTTACTGAAATGCAATTTTTTTTTACATTTAAATTGACGTTGTTTGAAGGGAGAAGCACAGGAAACAGGCCAGGAAAAATTCCAGATGTCTCAAAATTCATGTGCACCAAATCCTGTTCTCGGCTACACCTGTGTCTTCCTGTTTTGTTTTGTGCAGATGCAACACAACAGAAACACCTACAACAATGCACCAACACACTGACATGTAGGTACAGAGGTTTTGGGGGTTGGGTTATTTTACTTCTTCCCCTGCACCCCGCCTTCTTTATTTCTTCTATATTTTTTTTAACATTGTTTGAAAGGTACCAAGCTAAGGAGGGCAGAAGCACTTGCATGTGCCTCTCCTGTCCATGGTTTTCTTTCATCTATCATTTAGATCCTTGATTAGTTAGAAGTGCACAGTCAGTACAATGCAGCACAGCAGGCAGAAGTGGAAGTCCTAATCCCATCAATATGGTTGTTAGGGGAGACTGAAGTTCTGAATCAGCAAAGCTGTGTTCACCATGAAGGGGGCAGATAAGTTGGGGGGGTTTGTTGGGGTTTTGGGTTTTTTTTTAATGCAAACACTACATTTTCAGGCCCATTGTGTGTGCCCCACTGGGCAAGAGACAGCCTCAAGGTGTTCAAAGAACAAATGTAAGTAGCTGAAAGAAAGGAAGGAGTTAAGAAAAAAGTATATGAGAGAGTTTTTTTTGGACGGCTCTACAACTTTAAGGGGTAGGTAGAAGGTAATCTATTCTCTTGCTATCTTGTAGCAACTTTGGGAGCTAAAAGAGGACCTTGGAGGCAGAGAGGTGTCAGACAGGGTGAAAAAGGCTTGACAGGCTGTGTCTGTACTTCAGCACAAGGTTTCCCATTCACACTCAGGTCCAACAGCCTAATCCATACTGGATGCACATCAGCTATGGGCTGGAGCCTGACAGTTTTCCAGGCAGAGGAGTTTTCCAGGAACAGACTTGACTGGGACATCAGCTCTGCTGTTCCAGGCAGTTGTGAACGCAGGTGGCAAGCCTGAAATTCAACTACACTTCCAGAGGCACTAAAACCATTGCCCTTTAACTCACTGTAGGACATAGAACCACTAGAAATGCCAGCATCCTATGGTCACACTTGTATAGTTCAGATGGATAAATTTGGCCTGACTTGTCCCTTAGATGCTGCTTGGGCTCTGGACACCTGGGTGACAAAAATAAAAACACTAAAAAGTTTGTTACCAGTAATTTGCATGAACTATCTAATTATCCTTTCAGCTATGGATTTCTTTAGCACACAGAAAGGCAGAAATCTTTTGTTTACAACTAGAGACTGTGTTGTTGCATAGTACAGTACAAAAAAGAGTTTGTAAAGACTTGGAGTTCAGGATGTGTTTCAGACGTAAGTGTAAAAACAACTGGAAATCTCACCAGAATAGGCTTTATAGAGGTGTTTTGTCCCTCCTGTTCTGAGATCTGGATAAAAACCAAGGTGATAATGCTTGGCAGGGTATCTTAGAAATTCAACAACCAAAAATTTACTGCTAGAAATAGGCCTGGATTCAAGAGGTTCTTCTTCAGTATGGATCCCATTTCTTTATCCCTCCCCTCCAGCCTCTTCTCTCTACTGTTTTCATCTCTTCTTCAGTCCTGATCTGACTTTGGAGACAGAGAAGCACACACCAAAAAACCCACCAAAAAAAAAAGCAAACCCCTCAAGTGTGAGGCTTTGAGATGGCACCTTTTTCAGTTTCGAACTAGAAGTCCCTTTTTGTAGGCAAGTAACCCAGCTGCAGCCACAGAGGTGAAGAAAGTGGAAAATCCAATCAGCTTTAGCAGTCCTGGCACAGACGGCAAGTTTCGCTCCCAGAAGGTCGTAGTGATGGGCAAAGCTGGCACATCCTGCAGGGAGAGCATCCCTTATCAACATAACATCTCCATTGTAAGAGGCAGGATATAAATCAAGATTCTTGCAGCAGAAACAAAACTGGGTTGCAGCAGTGAAATGTTATCAGGAATGAATGTATCAAAATTTTCTTCCCAGGTAAGGGAAGAAGAACACACATGGAAAGGACTCACAGCCCAGTTAAAAAGTGCAGTTCTTTCCAATCCTGCACTACAGAGTTGTCAGATGGGTGCCCTCTCTGAGTTTCTATCATATTCCTGTTAAGGGAGGAGCAGTTTTGGTGAGTAAGGGAAAGTTTATTGTGGTTTTAATTTAGTGAACTTACATAAAAACAACCAACAAAATTTTATCTCATCAGCAAAGCAGCAGAAAAAAAAACAGTCCCTTTAATCTACACAAATACTTACAATTGATTCAGGTTCTGGCTTCCAAATTTCACTGTCTGGGATTTTCCTCATAGCAAACAGTATCTGAAAGGCAGTAATGTTCTCAGTAAGTACCACTGATTCTTCAAAAGGGAAAAAAAAGCTGGCTTCAATTTTTGTTTTAAAATGGCATGGTGATGACTGAGCACATAAACAACAGTGTATTGAAATTTTAGAAGAAAACTCAGCCTTTTACAACTCATTTCTGGGGAGGTCAGATATTTAATAAGACACTTCTCCTAGTGGAACATAGAAAGAGTAACAGAAAAATATCTTTATGCTTAGTTAGTCCACGGAAGATATCAGAACTTGCCCAGTCCCATGGGAACAGGGCAATGTGAACACGACTAAGAGTTAAGCAGACACTCCTGGGACACATATGGTGTGCCTATGCCAGCTACAAGGAGCAGCTTGCTTTGCAAATTTTATTATGATGTAGGAAGAAGAACAGCATCCTGGGAGTGATGACAGACCACTACTTTCAGCAAGAGAAAAGCAGAACTAAAAAGAAAACCTTTGCAATGGAAAACTTACCATTCAAAATATCAAAGATACCAGAGATCAGTAGGATGGCAAAGATTATTTGAATTGGTAGTCAGGGAAGACAGTAAGATTAGTTTCTTCTACGGTAAATAAAATGGAGGTGGTGATATTAATGTTTTTCCTATTCCAGGCACTTGTAGGTTTAAGATTTGTCATCTTTTATGATGGGCTTTTACTGTAGGCAAGATTCATTGAACCCCTCAACTCTACAATGCACAGGAATGAGAAACACCCTTGCACTAGATTTTAAACATATTTTCCTTTCAAAAGTAAACAAGGAAAGGAAAACATCAACATTTTTACCAGCCTAGCACACTTGTCAACTTCTCTGCTGAGGCCTATGGAGCTCTGCTGTAATGTCTGTACATTAGTGAGATCACGAAGCACTGCCCCTGGAGGTTTTCAGAAGTAGGTTTGCTATAATTTTCTCAAATGGGACAGGTTATAAATAGTTGATCCCTGTCTTTTGGGGCAGGAGTATGGGCTAGACGAACTCTCCAGATTCCTTCCAGGAGAATTTCTGTTCCACAACTGTAGCTTTCAGCCACAAGGTTCCCTTCACCTCATAAAACAAAGATGAAATTTCTTTTGCTGCTCCATAAACTGTAACGTTCCTGAAAATACCTGAGGAATTGCCATTTTCTCAGATGCAAAATAGATCTAAGTCCTTTTTTATTGACTTCACATAGGGCTTTCTCAAAGATATTTCACTGTGTCAATGGTATTGTTGGGAACACAGGAGGAAGGGACTGGTTTGGTGTGCAGAGCTGCAGGACTGAGCTGCTCCCGTGCTCTAACAGCCATGATGTCTCAGCAGGATGACTAACAGAGTGATCATTTGGGAGGAAAAATGGCTAGGTGAGAATCTGGGATTTCTGTAAAAGAAGAAAGGATTTGATTCCTGGAAACAGAGAAGATTTTGAGGAAATAACCACAGCCCTTCTTAAGTATTCCAAATCTAAGTGCAAAACCTTCATCCTTTTTGAAGTCTTTCCACTTTGCAGGGACTTGCATCAAGATTCAGGACACCTAATGCTGTCAACACTCGGTTCCCATTTCACCTCCAACCAGAAGATCTTTTATTTTCCACAGGACATTTGACAGTGTCCCCTGAGTTTTTGTACCTCTCTGGCTGCTCTTTCTCCAGCCTGGACAGCCCCTTCCATGTATCCACTCCACTCTGTGGCTGTTTCTGTGCCAGCAAAATAGATCCTGCCAACGGGCTGCCGGATGATCCTGGAGGGGCACAAGCAGTAAGTCTCATTAGGCATATCAGGAAAGAACCAAAACTGTTGGGTTAACATTACAGAAGTGTTTTAAATAACAGCAAGCACCTACAGTTAGCAACATTGGGTGAGTTGAGCTGGAGGGGGAGTCTGCACCCCATTTAATTTCTTACAGTAAAGACACCAGTGTTCACATTTTCTAAACATCTACACTGCTCAAAGGTGTAAAGGACAATTATTTTGAGATGAGAATTACTCTCTCTCACAATTCTAGCCAGTGCCATAAATACCAATGCTAAGCATTACTGGCATAGTTCAGCATTCTGAAGTATATCCTCATAATATCTACAGCAATAAGCAAATAAATAAATAAAAGATTGTTTTAACTCTGGTTTTGACAGAATTGGCAATAATTATCATTAAAATTACTTTAAATACTAAGGCCTCCATAAGCTCTTTATTACAAGTGCTTCATTGCTCTAAGTTCTTTTTAAATTTTAAAAACTTAAACTTCAAAAGTAGGGCTATGCCTCCACATTAAAAACTGTGTATCTGGATCCAATCACTGGTCTGATGCAAGTCTTTTTCTTCCTGCTAAATCTTATTTTCATGCAAAAATTTAGGTGGGAGAAGACTGTATACAATGGCCCACTGATTACTATTTTAAGTCTTGACTGCCAAAAAAAAAGGAATAGTCCAAAGAAATCACTCATTACTGTACATTTTGGCAAGAATTAACTCTCTGCCAGTATTTATAAAACACCAGCTAAAGATGTGCTGGAAATGGTTACACAGATCTCAAACACCCAAAGCCAGTTTTGTAAACAGACTGTGAAAGCTTCCCAACTCCCTTCCCAGAGCCTACTCAGCTGTACTCACCGAATTTCAAGAGTGAATAAAAGCCCTTAATGATGCTGAACTCATCCATCATAAAGCCCAGCTGAGACAAGTGGAAGGTTATACTATCTCTTCAAAATATTCCCCAGTGATCTTAAAAGGTATAAAGTGAACAGTGACAGAGGATTTATGACCCTTTCTGAGGATATTTATTAACTTGGTCTTATCTCACTACTCCAAAGCCCACTATAAATAGACACTGTACCTTCCATACTGAGTCATTATGCCTGGTGGAAAGTAGGCTGTGTAGCAGCCCCCAGAATACTGCTCTTCACACCAGTTCTTCTCTTCATAATGCACTGGCTGTAAAACAGAGATTAATTCACTCAGGGAAAGGACAGAGTCCCAAGGAAGCTAATAACAGAACTGAGGAGAGAGCAGAGAAGAACAGCTTATCATTTGTTGCATGTCAACGTCTGACAAGACAAGCACATTTAACACATCTCTTAATGCAACATGAACCCAACACAAAAAGCCTTCATTTTTTAAAAATAGCTAGCAGTGTCTAAAAAACTAGCTAATCTAGCCACTGCAGAACATAATCCTCTTAATCTGTCAATGTAAATTGATACTTTGTGCACAAATTTATGCTCTGAACCATGTAAAGCAAAATTAACCTCTGGTGTACACAGATGTAAGATTTGCAATATGTACACGGGACGCAAATATATACTTGTAAAAATGTAAAGTGTGGCACTTGCATGGTTCTGTGTACAGTATCACTGTGTTGAAAATTACATGTTTTCCAGATTGGTGTCTACAACATTTAACTGGTTTAAAAATGTCTCTAAAGCGTAAACAGTGTAAATCACATAATCTAAGTGTGAGATCACACAGAGCCGAACAGTCATTCAACATTACAGGGAAGAGAAGGCGAGGGAAAGGCAAAGGAAAAATAACCCAACACATGCAGCAATGGGTGTTAACAACCGGTGAGAGAGAAGACACAACATAGATGAGAAGGAAAGCAGGCCTATCACACCTGAAAACAGCTGAGATGTGTGGTATAAGTTCTGAGAATGCCACCGACAAAGCCAGAAAAGAATAAAGTTTCATAAGCTCATTCTTATCCTCACTGTCAAACACAACTGAAGACTTGCCATAATATTCTCTCCACTCCTCTAGAGAGGGCAGTAAGTGCTCCCATAGCAGCTACCTTTTCCAGAGACACCATGGTTAGATTTTGTGCTTACGTGTAAAGCTTCCTCTGATCCCAGAACCTTTGCATAGAGCTCACACAGCCTTGTCTTCCTGCAAGAGAAAAGCAACATAAGACTTCAGTGTGAGGAAAGAGCAAACAAACCACCTCTAATATACCCTAGTTTCAGGATAACACGTAATGTATCTGCTTGAACTCGAGGTTCCAGCATTTTGGGATCTATTCTAATTGGTCAGCCTCTGGATCACTAGAAATAACTCAAACTCCTGTGCTGCATAAGTGCTGGTTTTATCAGCAGTTACACAAGCTGTTCCCTTAAGATAACTCCAGCAGCCCAGTTCCATACATTATCCAAATGTTCTCCAGGCTGTCAGAAAAGAAAGTAGTAAGGCATTGCAATTTTTTGTCTTGGCACATAGTCTAACTTATGTTTGTTCCTACAAAGATGCAGGTATCGATATACTGCAGCTCTCAGGGAATTAATACTTTATTTCTGCATATATAAAATTTCCTCCTATTTTAGTTTATGAGTCTATAAATCCATGAATATGCTTCATTCCATAGCAAACCCCAAGTGCAATTAAGTTTGTTCCTACAAGCTTTCGGGTCTTACTCTTAGCCCCACTGCGCCAATTCCCAAAATCCGGAAGATCAAGATGAAATAATAGTTGACAACTATAAAAACAAAAACTCAAACACAGCATTGGAAAAACTTTTACTCCTGGAAACAAATCCTGCGCTCCACAGGAAGCCACGCTGGGCACAGAAATAGAGGAGTTCCCAGCTCTGTAACTGCGTGGGATACACTGGCAGCTGTGACAGCCCATGAGGACACCACATATAACTGCTGTATGAAGCAACCCAGCTTCTACAGGAGCCCAGCTATACCCATGAGCAGCTGAACCCAAAGAATGCTACAGAATGGGGCTGAGGAGAAACAGGATGACTAGAAGGGCCTTGAAGGTGTCCTCATGTGCAGGTTGGGGCTTGAGCAAGAAAATGAAGGGTGCTACAGTTCAGGAAGAGCCGTGGCCCTGGGGTGATTTTGCTGCTGGCAGGTGTCAAGTTAGTTTAAGATAGCTGTGCAAAAAGAAAATATTAAGCTTCAGGTCAAGGGCATCTTCAGACTCTTAAGAAATGTCAACCTTGGAAGGAATTATTCATCAATAATAAGGTATTATTTGACAGGGGGAAAAAAAATCACACCAAAAAAACCCCAAACCAGCAGTTTCTAAGGAATTGAATTGTACCAGCAGAAATCAATCATTGAGGACGTTACCCTTAATAAGAGCAATCTTTGCTGCTGTGCTGGTTTCTCTGCAAGATCTGCAGTTTTCATCCCAGAACCGTTTAAATAAATTCTTATTTATGTATTTATAGTTGAAGCTAGATGGAACACATGGAATATGCAGTGAGTAAAATCCTTATTTCTTGGCTTTGGACTCAGCTGTGAAACTGCCATCAGCACTAAATAAGAGGAATGTTATGCCTGGAGCTACCAAGGTAGGGTTCTGTTGAGAGTGACACTGTGCCCAGTGTGGAAGAAATGCACATGCACAGCTGTTTTCCCTCATCTCTTATTTCACAGCGGTGTGGAAAGGTAGGGTACAATCTAACCACTGTAATTACTCACTGGCACCTGGCCTGGGAAGACCACCTGGAAGGCAGCAATGAGTTTTACTCCCTTCAGTCAGGCTTAGCCTGTAAAAAGGTTTCCATCCTCTCCCACAGCTGCTCTTCCTAGTCATGATTTAGGATAGCTGTCACAGACTCTACATCCTACTCTTCATATCCAAGGATTACCAAAACCCTGTAATAAGCGTGATGAAGGGAGAGCCCAGGCTGTGCTGTAGGTGAGCACAGCATCTCAGCAGGATACCACAAGGTGCCACAAGAAGCCTGTGCTCAGAAGGGACCCCTCCCTGCAAATACCACACCCCTCATCTAAACAATACAAATTGGTTGCACCCCAAGTGTACACTGGCAGGTCTGGGTTCATGCTCTGCCTTCCCCTGGACCCCAGCTTCCACTGGAAGGAGACTTATGTGAAGGACAGGAGCTGCAGAACAGACCAGCAGGTTCCTGCCTTGTCTGGCTGAGGTCAAGACTGCAGGAGCCAGAGGTACCCCTGCACCAGGGTACACCCAGCAGGTACCAACCTGGGCCTATTTCATAGCCATTTGTTACCAAAGCAAAGCCCTTCCTAGTCCACGGTTTATTCCTCAAAAGACAAGAGTTCAAAACTCATTTAAAACTTGGCTATAGGAGGCAGCAGAGTCAGGCAATTGTGCCAGTGCTTTTAATGCCCAGGGGAAAGGATGGTGCCTTGCAAACAGCCAGGACAGCCCTTAATTTCATAAAAAGAGAAGCTGTTCTTGAAGACTGCAAATGCTCAGATGTATCTAGGGGGTTCACACACAGAGTAAGACACCATTTGGTGTTTGGGATGGCTTTAAATGCTGGGCAATACTGGGTTTCAGAATACCTACATGACTTTTATCATCTGGCACCTGCTGGGGGTCTATCTGAAAGCTTCAGTGCTTGTCCATTCCTGCCAAAATTGAAAGGGCTCTGTGGTATCAGGCTGTCATTTGAAAAGATGGGGACATTAACAGCTCCATTCAGGCCCATTATCCACAGACTGCCAGACTACCTGCAAAGTGAATCTGAGATGACTACATCTTCTCTAGTTAGACTGTGAAAATGTTACTTGGACACAGTATTCCTTCTGGCATGCTTTAAAAACAATTTTATTTTCTCAGTTTCAAAATAAGCCTCTGCTTATAATCCACACTCTATGCTTCTAGCTTTAATTTGATCAGATACTGTAAACTGGTGAGATGGAAAAAAATCATTACTTTGTAAATTCTATTTTAGTAATATGTCAAAGAGCACTATTGTATGCAGAGACTTGTTTCAAGAAGACAGTAAAATGGCCTTCATCTGGGCCTGAAGGGCATTTTTTCCCATAGCTGAGTGTGGAGAGATGGAAGCAGCTTTCTGATCCCTTCGTGATGCTGAGGTGTTGCTCACAGCAGCTACAGCACTGTCAAGGTTGCACTAAGTTACAGACACTGAAAGGACCCCTCCAGGGTGATTAGAAGAAATAAAAATCAAACACAGTGTTCAAGACTGTCCCTTCTGACAAGCTTTCAAAGAGCTCAGTGCACCTGCAGGAAGCCAGAGAGGCAGCAGTGGGGAGAGGAGGCTGGACTTGGATCCTTTCCAGTGAGGGCAGGTGGATTTCTGCACTACTTTCATATCCAGCAGCTTAGAGCAGTTCTGTACCTGGAGTCACATAAGCAGAGCAGCCTTGTGGGAAAATAAGAACCAGAACCAGAGAGTTTCCAAAGGGCAGGGTTTAGCTACACATCTGCTGCCAGTTTGTGGGAATTCTAGGGGGCCTTCATCCAAAACCAAGATACTTCTCCTTTCAAGTGACATGTCTGTCTACTGTCACAAGGTTACAGACAACTTCCTTCAAATCAGGGCTTTTTTTTTCCTGCCCTGGTCATTTATAACAAAATTTTGACTCGGATTCTGCACAGATCTCCAGTGTTTGTACTTACCTTTCTTCTTTTGTGAGACCTGTCAGTCTTCTGCACTTCCGAGCAAGAATGAAGCTGTAGGAAGACCACAGACAATTTACTGCCATTATGCAACTACATTTCCTGCATTATTTAAAATGCTAATACGTTATGGTGGGATGCTGTGATTCACAGTAATAGCTTTAGGGTCTCTGTCTAAAATATCCATTTCACCTCTCTGCATAATGTTGTTTGCTCTGCCTGCTGCTTGCAGGACTCACTCTAGAAGGAAACACTGAGATTCATGTTACAATATTTGCATGAGCTGTTTCCCAATTACCTTAATTTTATACAGCTGTGGGTGTAGGTATATAGGAACAAGAGGAAAAGCCTGGGATTGAGCTGTAAATTATTTTTTAATAAAACTTTTAAGACTGATCACACTCCATGGCTGTTCAAAAAAACCAAATCAAACAAAATATAATTCTAGAAAACAAATTTTGATTTAAAGAACTTGAATACTGGGAGAAAACTTTATATTTCTGCAATCACCCTCTTTTTTCTTCTCTTTTCTTTCTTCTTCTCCAAGTCTATACTTTGCCACACAATAAGGCAAAAGATGAAAGTGAAAAAAAAAAAGACAGAATTTCATTTTTTAAATTAGCAATGAAATCATAGAGAAAACTTTTTTGAAATAAAACAATCACAGAACATATTCACCACAGACTCAACCTTTAATTATTTAAAGTATTTCCTTTCAAAAGCAGTAGGTTTTCCATTTCAACTGCTGCCTCTAAGACAAAATAAAAAAGCATTAATTAGACACTGTCTCTTACCCTATTATGGCAGGAAAACTGCCATCAGGCTTGGTATCATCAAGGGTTAAACCAATTGCAGCGTCCTCATCTTCAATGATCATGGTACCACAATACCCTGTTAAGCACAAAGTGGAAAAGAAGTTAGGATACATGTATCCAAACCTAGGAACAAGCTTCCAAGAAGATGTAAAATACTCAGAACATGAGAGGAAAAAGCCCTAAACAACCTGATCAAAATTTAACCTGCTTTGAGCAGGGTGTGGGACTAGATGACATCCAGAGGTTTCTCCCAGTCTCTGTCATTCTCAGATATTATGATTCTGATACAGGGAAGCAAGGTAACTAATAATTAGCAAGGTAATTATTGCACAGAAATGGACTGCTCTCAAATACTGAAGATGTTCAAGTGGCTTTACCACAGTTGTTTCCATATATGACATTTATGTCAGACATAGAAGGAGATATTTGTACACTGTTTTGAAAAAACAATTGTTCTTAAAAGAATGGTTTGAAGAAATTATATTGTTCTTAAAAGAACAATAGTATTGGCAAAGCACAGTATGCTACAGGTTCTATCAGAAACAGGGAGTCACCTCCTGTCAATCCATTCCAAAGCTAATAGCCAGAACATGACAGGATCCAGAAGCCCTATAACAAGTCATTCACAAAGATGGAGGGTGGATGACATTTGTAGGCAAACAGATGTTGGCTTACTATAGCCAAAGATGAGAAATGGGTGCTATTACACTTCAGTTTTTCTTAGGTTCAGTAGTTTTAAAAGAGAGCTGAGGAACCATGATGGAAGTATTCAGCCTGTAAGGGGAGTCCAGGATGACTAGCCCAGCTGGGGATGGAGATGTAAAGACACCTTCAACTAATGCTGCCCAGTGCATCCAGAGGGCAGAATTTTTGCAGACTGATAATTGATGGGATAAAACCCCTTTCCATCACACATCACTTGTACCTTTACATTCCTGTACAAGTGAGAGAAACTCATATCCAGGTGCCGCTGAAGAAGAGGATAATAAAGAACAACTGAGACGATAAGCAACAGGCACGAGTTCTCCCTTCATGACTACCTCCCTCTTTTTATTCCCTTATCCACCCTCTTTTCCCTCTTTTTTTCCTTCTAAGGTTTAGCATCCTCTGTCTACTCCATTGCCATGCACGCTGTTCCCTTTGTCACTACTATTCCATTCAATTAAAACACAATACCCTTCTTCCTCCAGAAAGTTTCCTTGTAGTACACAATGCACTTGATGACTGAGCCCATGGGGATCCGGTTGATGAGCTGGTTTCTCATTGGGGGCAAAGGTGGGTTGAAATGAATCTTCAGCCCAAGAGCTGGAGGAATGGCATTGATCACATATTTGCCCTGGAAAAGAAATTATACATAAGCCAAATACATTCTCCATTACTTCGACCTAAGTATATTGCTCCAGTGATCTTGGCAGACATCTGTGGAGGCTGCAGGGTGTATCTTGTGAAGCAATTTTGGCATTTAGCATAAGAATTGTAAAACTAAACCCTCACAAAATCCTGCTCATTAAATAACAAACAAGCATCATATAAACAGCCATCTGTTCAAATGATGGGCAGCTGCCCTTTCCTCAGTACTTAAAAGAAAGCACTGTGTTATAAGAGTCCATTGGTCTCCCTTCCATCTGGACTCCTCTGTTACAACTTGGAAGTAAAGTTTGCAATGTTTTTCCCAGAAAGTTTACTACTAAGCTACATTTTTGTGTTCACCTTGCAATTACTCTTTAATTCAGAAGGTAACTGAACACAAAGAAGAGATGCTAGCAAAGGAAAAGTTTGAATAAACACATTGCTTTCCAGGCATCACTTTAAAGCACTATCACTGCTATTACTTCAGGACAATGAGAAAGTGTGACCTTCTGTCATAGTCACTCATACCTCTGCTACATTTTTGGAGAGTATTTTGGAGAGTATTTTGCAGGACAAAGCTAAAGGGTTTCTAGCCATTCGTCCCACCACTAACGATTTCTTACAAGGACATTCCATTACCTCGTATAATTCATGATCTAAGGTTTCCACGATGACACTTTCACCCGACTGGTCGATGCGGACGACCGGTTTCCTCAGCTTCACCCGCTCTCCCAGGCGCTCCATCATCTTCTCGCTGATCTGGCCAGCTCCCCCAACAAACTTCCTCTCCTGAAACACATAAACAGCGACTCAGCAGAGAGCTGCTTGTGAATCGGGTATCATTTCGCTCGGCATTCAAAACAAACCCCATTCTTCCAATGTTATCAAAACATATTTGGGAAGTTTGGCAGTTTCACTTGGAAACGTATCCGCATTACTTTCTCTTTTGGGGATTTCCTCAAATACTTCCCATATTTGACCAGCAGTCAACATCAGAAGTATCAGTAACCTCATGAGAACACCCCTTCTCATGTGGTCTCCAAACAGTTTCCACAGGCCTGTGTGAATCAGCAAGACTTCTGAAAAGTGCTTAAACTTTCAAACCTTTCTCTGAATTTATTCATCCCTGCAGAGCTCTGTGCATCAGAAATAGGAAACCTGATCTTCATAATAAATAACAAGGTAAAATAAGTAATGTAGCTCACATAAAAAATGTCTGCTACAGTCCATAATCTAAACTAACTTAAATCACCTCTAGCATAGCACAGAATTCAAATATTTAAACATATTTACAATTAAATTATCTATGGTTATTGCTTATATATGCATATTTATGGATTTGATATGGTTTCATGTATTTGCTTTTTTATTTATTTATGACTAAGTAACTTGCATTTCAAAAAATATATCAATTTCTAATACAATTAGTAAAATTTGCACTTCTCAAGTAGAAGACCATTAACAGAGTCTTTACTTTCTTCAAATGCAGAAGCAGCACTAGTGTACCAGACTGCAAACATTTCAGAGCAATACCATTTTTAAGCAGTGGTGGTCATTTTCTTCAGGCTGATTTTAAAATCATAACAGTGTTAATCCTTGGAAGTTTGCATCTTAGGAACCCAGCTCTGGGCTACATTTTCAGCATTAATTTAAAGCTGGCCTTACCATCTCCATTAAGTGTTTCTGCAGTGGCAAGCCTTGCTTCAGCCTCGTGACAGAAATAAGCATGAGTAAAACTTTCCTTTTTCAGTGTGGATAAGCAAAGTACATGTTCTAACCAGAGTCCAAAAGGAATCCAGGGTTAGGAACAGATATAAAACTACTGACCCCTAGGGCAATGCTTTCAGCACAGGAGCAGTTTTCAACACCAGTTTTGCAAGATCTACATTAAAGTGTAAATGAATAAAACTAGTTATCAACATACAACTGGCTCAAAAGTCACGAACGACTCAGTTTGCCCTCTGAACTAAAGCAAACAAGCAAAAGAATGAAGTAAAACCAGGGCCTGTCAAGAGCTGCAGGGATGGCTGACAGTACCTGTCCTCCGTTGGTCGTTGAGAATATCCTCGCTGTCCCCCCACACTGCTTCACGTACCACAAAAACCACAGGGCAGAGACCTCGTGGGGCTCAGAAGTGACATCCACGTTCACAAACAGAGTTGCAAAACTCTTGGCTGCACTGCAACAAAGACAAGAAAGTGAGTTAATTTAAAAAATTAATAATGCTGACCAGGCTGTTCTTGAGTGGGAGACTGTCTTTGGTAACCTCTTCTTTTACTGTGGGCAAAGGATTCCTTGATTTCAGTTGAAGCAAGAAATTATCAATTCCTTCTATGTAAAATTTTTCAAGTATCCCTGCAAAAAAAGTGTTAATCAAGTGTTTGTATTCCATACAAATTAGGGCTCCAGGAGACACAAAAGCTCATTAAAGCTTATGTTACTAATTATGCTACTAATGCAAAGTTGTCATTTTAGAATTAAGGGAAGCAAGCCCTCCGGCTTTCACTGGACTCCAAAAACATCATGTCCTTGGCTCCTGGGTTACAGGCAAGATCTGCACCTGCTAAATGCCTGTCCCTCAAGAACACAGTGGAGAGATTATTCAACACTTGTCATAAAAAGTTAGCAATCTTGTCTAAGCTAATTATCTAAGATCTCTGGATTAGTCAGGATCACTTCACTGCCCAATCCTCCTCTGTGCTCAGGGACAGTGCTGCAGGTGGAACAGAACTAGGAGAGAAATATAAGTAGGAAGCCAAAACAGACGAGACAGCATTCAGGCAAGAGTTTGACAGGGGAAAAGAAAGTATTCTTTTGGTTGCTCAACTCAGTATTTTAAACAGTGTTCTAGTAGCCAGTGGCAATGAACACAGAAGCGGAAAATTGACCTGTGTCTGAAAAAGGATCACTGCTTTATGTCCTACAGCTTGTGCTTTCGTAACAGCTCCACTGTAAATTACTGTATAAGGATGTACAAGATTTTTGGGTGCACTAAGACAGAATTTATTAAGATTCAGGGAAACATTCCTCCTGTTAGAAGTAAATGCTTCCTCCTGCCCTCATACTGAGGAGGAGTTTTAAGAGACATGGACAGGACCATGAGATGCCCAGTTTAACTACTTTGGGCTTAGGGACTAAGATTCTATAGGTGTTTCATATGCAAGGCATCAGGCAATCAATAACTTCCAAAGCCAGTACAGAATCCACTTTTTGTTGCTTCTTTCTTTTTTTTAGTCTTAGACTTCAAAAAAAGTGAAAAGTGTATCTCTAGCATACTATTTCAAACAGCTGTAGATCTACATAGAAAAAAGGCATCTTCTGTCCTTTGTAAAAATGCGAAGTCCCACTGAAGTACAAACCCCATCCATTTTCTGAAATATGAGGGCATTCTGGCTTCATTCTTGACAGCCAAAAATAATACAGAAATTATTCATGATTTTTTGTCAGTATAAACACATATTGTAAAATATGGTCAACTCTGTAAGGTATTTTGCTAATGTGTATGTGTCCATTAATATTTTATAAGCAGAGGCTATTAGATGGTGGTTACATTCTCCTAGTTTCTGCTGCCTTCTCCCATTGCTTTTCAGTTCCTGATGTTTTACCTAGGAATACCAGTATGATTTCAACCAAGTGCAGTCAGGACATTTCCATCATGCATCTGTAGCCGAAAGCAAATCTGTACAGTCTGTTAGATGAGAGGCAATAGTAGAAGATTACCCTTCTGGACCATTACCTTCCAGGGGGGGAATTTTCTATGGCATGTTACCTAAATCTTGAACAAACTGAACAAATCAAGCTGAGGTGCACATATAAAATCTGAAAAGCATCTCTGTGTTATGCCAATATTAAGGTAAAATGTCAAGTCTTATTCCATCAAAGTTGGAAAATCATGAATGTAATCACATGAGCTACTGGATATTGAATGACTACTGGTGCATGGTGTTTTGCAAACTTGTCCAGTTCCTTACCAAGTCAGAGGTTTAGAGAGCCAACAGAGCTGTCAGCATACATCTCTATTTGGTTTTACTGCATACGGATGACAATACAAATGAGAAGGGCTTTTTGTATGCTTCTGTGCAATTGTCACTCCTGTTAAAGTAAAACAAGCTTTTTGACAGGGGCCTACTGTCCATTTACAACCACAGAATTATTGAATGGTGAAAGACCCCAAAGGATGACCTTAAAGATCATCCAGTTCCAACCCCCTGCAATGGGCATGAACACCTTCCACTAGACCAGGTTGCTTCAAAGTTCCATCCAGCCTGGCCTTGAACGCTTCCAGTAATGGGGCATCCACAACTTCTCCGGGCAACCTGCGCCAGGGCCTCACCACCCTCATGGTAAAAAATTTCTTCCTAATATCTAATTTAACCCTGCTCTCTTTCAGTGCAAAGCCAGAACCCCCTGTCCTATCACTACATGCCCTTGTCAGAAGTCCCTCATCAGCTGTCTTGTAAGCCCCTCTTAGGCTCTGGAAGGCTGCCCTAAGGTGTCCCTGGAGTCTTCTCTTCTCCAGGCTGGACAACACAACCCTCCCAGCCTGTGGCCATAGGAGAGATGCTCCAGCCCTCAGATCATCTTTGTGGCCCTATTCTGGACTTGGCCCAAAATAGCCATGATCTACATGAACAGCAATGGTCATGTTGCTCTCTGGAGACTGGCTGGAGCCATAGAAATGCCCCTGTTGAGAACCAGACTTAGTGGGTGCTAACAGGCTTCGGCACCAAGCTCGGGCAGGCTCGTGGCAGCTGCGTGTGGGGTGCTTGGCGGTTCTGAGGAGGTTGCTGTAGAAATCAATCTGCTTTACAGCAAGGCAGAATTAATGGGCTTTTTTTTTCTTTCAGTGAGAAGAAAAACCATCAAACTGCCATTGAATGGCAAGGGAAGAAAAATTGCTTTGATATATACATAAAAACAGGAAGCATTTTCACTTTCCCTGCTATATAGCACACCAGCTAAACAATAGAAAGATGGGTGTTAAAAGTGATTTAGTGCTATTGCAAGACAAATGTTATCTTTATAGCACTTTGGTAAAATCAGCCGGTCCAGCACAGAATAAATGTGTGCTGTTCCATCAAAAGTTTGATTCAAAAACCTGCTGTAACCAGAACATTTTTCTTTTAAAGGCTAAACACACAGTAAAGAGCAGGAAAGTGAACATAACAGATTAAGGTACTACACATCTATTCAGAAGTAACCCTCCCAAATACATTTTCCTTTTATCTTCTTTTTTAGTCTAAAAAGTTAGGGAAATAGAGTGTGCTGACAGGTGTTGTGGTCCATTATTACAAGATTTTTTCACCCCATTTCTTTAAAAAGGCTGTATTTTAGAGGTAGTTTTATGTCTTTGAAAAGCAGTAACATTTATTTGGAGCTCTAAGGTATATAAATATGTCATTATATTTCGTATTAAAAAGTTTCTTACTTCGTCCAGCAAATTTTATCTATGAGATCTTGCATAGTCATTTTGTCCCATTCTTCTGCATGTGGAGCCTTCCATGGGGCTTCATTGGGAATCTAAGGAGACATAAAAACCATCCATCAGCAAATGAGTGACACAAGAATTACCATGTCTTTACATGGTAATTTAGCCTGCAAATTTCTGGCAGATAATACAGTGAACTTAACAGCAAATGCTTTTAGGGTTTTTTTGTTGTTTGTTTGCCTGCTTTAAGAATTTTCTTTTTTTTAGATGGGAAAAACAGAGAATAAGTTTAGAGTTAAGAAATGTTTCTAGATGTTTCTAAGTTATTCCACATCTCTTGCATTTATCTATGCAAGTAAGAGCCACCTCTTCTCAAAGTCTTGTAGCTCAGTCAATAGAAAACATACACTACTGGTAATAAACTAGAACAGACAAGTTGAATTTGAAGGTAGAGAAGGGCAAACGTTTGAGGTCGACAAGCCTCTTAAAATATCACTTTATGATTCACCAGGAAAAGTGCTAAAAATCAATCACAAACATAAGCCTTGACATTCCTTTAACCAGAAGAGCAAAGGTATGACTGCAGACAGCCTCAGCAACGTGGTCCTTAGAAGAAGTTTCCAGGATGCCTCTTCAGATGCGCTCTGACCATCAGCGTGTACCAAAATGTGTGGCTGCTCTTGCCAGCACCAGGTTTTTTCAAGCTAGAGCAGCCTCCCATCTTTCACTCTGCCTCTCATGGAGACGAAGCTGAGCTGAGGCAGTCAGCTGCAATGCCTCATGCCATACCTCTTTCCCCATTTCATCCATGGTCCTCCACAGGTTGTTGTAGTCCAGGTAGGCCAGCGGATTCCGCATAGGAGGGAACGGACCTTTAAAAGGGTAAGACTTACCCTACAAGATGAAGAACAAACAAAAACCTCATTAAAAACTAAACACAACCATAATCACAGCTTCCATGTGTGGGAAGCTGCACCAAATTAAGCGTTCACTGTAAGAAAGAACAAACAATCAATACGTGTAACACTTTCTGACAGATCATGTCTGTGTGTGCACACAAGAGGCAATGGGCACAAACTGAAACACAGGAGGCTCCTTCTGAACATCAGGAAATGCTTTTTCACTGTGAAGGGTGACTCAGCACTGGCACTCATGGACCAGAGAAGTTGTGGAGTCTTCCATCCTTGGAGATCCTCAAAAGTTACCTGCACATGGTCCTGGGCTACCAGTTCTAGGTGGCCCTGCTTGATCAGGGGGTTGAACGAGGTGACCCCCAGTGGTCCATCCAACCTCATCCATTCTGTGACCCTGTTATCCTGTATGTGCAACTTAGCTGTGATACACAGTTGAATTAGTAAGTCCCACATGTGCAGAACTGATATTGCCTTCATCTTCAAAGTCTTACATTTGGCATTTCTGGGCAACAAAACTAATACCCTGCAGTAGAGTCACCAAGACCAGACTAAAAAAATGAGATGAAAAATTGGCTATTTGCTGCTGAAAGAGAGATATGTTACTTTTTTCCTCCTAAATGTTCGTGAGAAGACTGAACTGTTAATTGTAGTATGCAGTTTGGTTTTAGTTGGGTTTTTTTTCAAAATCAGACAAAAGCAGTTGTGGTGAGCTTTATTATACACTAAAATCATAGCTCAGAGACCTTCCTTAAAAAAAAAAAAAAGCTGTTTTGTCTAACCTAAAAATTACCGGTCCTGCAGAAAATGTAGTGTTTACTATTAATGACTTATTCTTCCAGTCATTAACACCTCTGGCTGTAAATTCCAGTGATAATGTGACCGATACCAATGTCCTAATTACATAATTACATATTTAATAGTTAGATTTTATATATCTGTATCTCCACTGCAAGATACTCAGAAAGTCTGGCTTAATTAAGAGTGGAAGACAACAAGTCATTTGTAAAGCTATTTCACTGACATGGGATTTCCCTGGCTGACTATATGGATGGCAGCCTAATAGCTTTAAAAATTCACAAAGAAATGCTCATCAGCATTATGCAGGTACTCCTTTTTTCACTATGCATTCCAGAGTCCATAAGACAGGTAAATAATAAAGGCTACATTGTGTGCCACATCTGATTTTTCAAAAGTTGTATTAAATTATGTATTTAAGTGTGCACGGCCTGAGCATGATTGCCAAACAGTAGAAGTACTAACTTTTAATACATATTTGATGCAGTGCCACACCGATCCAGCAGTAAAAAATTATTTACACTGGCTTAAAAAAAATCATACTGCACCAAGATTTAATATTTAGAACCAGGTAACAACAACAACAGCATGTCTTCTTGAGAAGAAGTACCCAAAGGCCACTTACTCAAAGAAGTGTCGGGCTTTATTTGATTTAGTATCTTTATTAATACTGTGAAAGAAGGGAGGGAGAGCACATTATTCAAATCTTCAAGCATTTGCAAGCACCAGAAAATACAGGAAAAGGGCACAATGGGACCCTGAAAGACTCAAAACTCGGTCTGGAAATAACAAACGGAGATAAAACCTTGAAAATGCTCGCTAATAACTTTGAGGACTTCTAATTTAAAGAGAAAGATACTTAGAGAGCAGTAAGGTAAAAAATCAAACCTAAGGGAAAGAGAAAATTAGTTTACAAAACTCCTGAACAGGTTAGAGAAAGTGAAGAAGAAACTGGTTTTTCACCTCGTCTTCACAGCTGCGGAACTCCAGTGGAATCCTTGTCAGAAACACCAAGGTAATGAAAGTTTGGAAAGAATCAGTGATTTTGAGGAGAAATTATGGTTTTCACAATGCCAAACCATCAAATTTTTAGAGGTTTTCAACCAGAAGTTTTGTCAGAGCCAAAGTAGATCTCCAGTCACTTCATGTGCCAGAGGCACCAAGGTTGAAAACTTAGCACTTTCAATTTAAGGATGAACATTACAGCACATTCACCCAGATAATGGAAGGGTGAGATTTTTTTTGTTTTTTTCATTCAGCATGAAAACAAAAGTCTTGTGCTCAACCATATGAAAAGACTGGAATCAGGAAAACATATCCCTATAAATGGAGATGAGCTGAACAAGTCTGTTTCATCATAAACATTTGGTCCTGACATGAAAATCTGTGTATGTACCTTCTTGTCCCAAGTGATAACACCTGAACCATGTTGGCAATTACCTTTTAGCCTTTTGGGGCACATTAAAATTCCGTTAAGTGGCTCCTATGGCAACAAGAAGTAAGTTCCACAGCACTTTCTTCTGAACACTGGAGCCACCCTTCACTAGTGTAAACACCATATAGGTACCCCAAAGCCAGACCATACCAGTTTGGTTTTAAGTACTTAGTATTTCCCAAATTCAGGTTTATGAAACAAGTATACAGCTGTGCTCAAGAAAACCAGGACAGCATCAGAATGGGTTATTCTAATTATTGATTTTGTTCTGAAATTCCTGCTTTGCCAGAGGCAATCCTAACTGAGTTATCCCCTCTGAGTTAACTCAGGTCTTATGAGTTCCATGTGGTTCTTCCTCATGAGCACACAGGAGACACACAAATCATATTTTTGTTTTAGTATTCTTCTATTTCACTGCATTTGAACTGCTGAAAGGGAAAGCTTGGGTATGTCTCTTGTGTAGAAATCTGGGGTGACAAGCCTTATAAAGCACAAGAATAAACTTCAACCTGGAAAAATATAAACAAATCAAAGTTAGTGAGTATCCTGTGAAAGTTACTTCCAAGAGCTCCTAAGGCATCTCCTAAAGCCTGATCCTTATTTCTTGCACAAACAAAACTCCAGGAGCTGTCAATCAGAATTTTGTTTGAGAGCCACTGCCAGACTAGGCTCCACACAGAAACAAAAATAACAGCACCAAAGAAAGACTACAGAAAGTTCAGAGTAATTACCAACAAACTGAAACATTTCAGCTCTACTTTTGCTGAATTTGCATTTTTGCAAACACAACAACCTTTTTGATATTTAGGCAAAATTTGCTTATTGCTGTCATCTTACTGGGAATAGCATTCTCCATACCTCCTGGTGCTGAAAAATCCCTAAAGAATAACAAGACACAGCTGAAAAATATCGTCCAAGGTGTACAACATGTTTCCTTTTTGAATATTTTTATACCTAAATCAGAGCTGTATAAAAACAGCAATAATAACCACCCCTTCCAATCATTTGCCATGGTATTTCAGCACCAGTACTACAATGCTAAGAAGTATTTCTTACCCTTTTTTATTTAATACAGGCATAAATGGTGCCACTTGCAATGCTTCCAAAAGCCAAACAGAGCACCAGCAGTTGGAGGTCTACCTGCTATTGTATAGATCACTTGCTCACAAAGGCTGTTGCTGCAGTAGGGGCTAAAGTTCACTGAAGAAGCTGAAATCATAAGGGAGGAAACTTGTGCAATGCAGCTGTCTCCGGAATAAACCAACAGGGAAATGAGAAATCCAGTGTTTGTCACAAACGCTGCAATTCCCAACAGATTTTCTCATCCATCTGTTTCACATCAACCAACATTTAGCTTAGTTACAATGGACCCATGTAAGTGCAGAAATAAGCTTTCTTTATACATCAGCTCTGTTTCAGGTCAAATAGCTGACATAAGAAATGGGTTATTACGGGTGGAAAAAAACCCCCACAATATGGCAACTGAATATCAGTAGCCCCTTGAATATGAGCCCCAGCACTCAGGAGGACATAGGGACCAGATCTCAAACACTTCCTCCTGTGAGGATGACAGTGAGTAAATGGTTAGCTGAGGAAGGACATGCCAGGAAATACCAGTATAAACATCTTATAAACGTAGTCAGTTTTCCTTAGAAGAAACAAGACGGTGTGGTGCATTCTCCGTGTCACTGAAGGAGCGCGGATATTCCCTCAGCTAAACCATCTAAACTGGTAGTAACCAGTGAAGTAACTGATGCTCATTTCACCAAGACCTCACTCTGCATGTTAATTCACAGTTACACAGGTTTATTGGCAAGCAGTGCCCTCTGCTGATTCGCAGCACTGGTACATCACACACACCCTGTTCTCTCAAAATCCCAGGAATGTCATTCATGCAAAGCACAGGAACAGTAAGATGCAAAGTCGTGAGGAGGAAAACAAGAACCAGAAAAGGATCACTTCAGGATATAACTCTGTAAATGTATCAGATATTGTTTCTCATCTGCTGCCTTGTGGAAAAGTATTATTTTTATTTGGTTTGTGGGGGTTGTTTTTTGGTTTTGTTGTTGTTTGGGGGGGGGTGGTTTAGTTCTGTTGAGTATTTTAAACCATAGCATCTAACAATATGTTTCTTTGGAAGTAAGCCTCTTTTAAAATCATAATTCTCAGTAAAACATGGCAAGTAGCTGGACCAAACAGAGAGGTATACAGGCCTACTTAAAAACTGTAACAGCATTGAACTACATTGAAGTTCCCTTCATTGCAGAACTTTTCAGGAGCTCATATGCTCAGCTGATTACTATACTGACAGATATCCTAAAAGTAAAAAGATACATAGGTTAGAAAATATAAACACAGCATAAGACAATCTGTATAACTGATATAACTGCAAAGCTATAATATTTAGACATGCCAAAATGTCCTTCAAATATATTTCAATATCTAATTTGAGATCATCAGCTGTGCATGCCAGTGTGTCTTATGAATTTGGTCAAGTAAGGTAATTCCAGTTTAAGTGTTGCATAGCCAGACACAGTGGCTTGAAACATGCATCCTGAAAAGGAATGGAGCTAAGCAGGAACAACTTGTTTCTGCCATGTTGTAGAAATAAGTCCACCTTCACTCTGCCACATCATGCAATCCGTTAAGTACTTGTCTTACCTAAAATATAGATAGAATGAGAGAAATGACACTGAAGTGATTTAGAAAGGAAAATTGAGGATCTGCTCTGAATTTAGATCCTCTATATT